CGTAGTAGTCCTTGCAAGAATAAGTTTATGTGTACGTAGGCAGGAACGTATGTGTGGATGTATGTATGTATGAACGTTATCGTAGGGTAGGAATGTATTTGAAGTAATCGCCCAGTCTTAAAATGTTCCGTTCGTTTATCAAGTATAAAAGAGGTGAGGGAAAAAGGTAGAGATAATAATAACGATCGCTTGACGTTTGTCAAGGGACGTGTTAATACGCTCGTCTCCTTATCTCTGGTGACAGGCGAACTTTTATTTTGTTTGTGGGGTTTGAAAAGGTGATTTGGGAATTCATTCCTGGATATGATTCGGGCCTTACAATTGGACGACGAACAAACTTCGTGTCGGCTTGCGAAAAGGTCCGTAAAAAATTGTTTCTGAGAATTGAAGATTATTTGAATTTTGTTTTTAAATGTTTCCTAGTTTTCTATTGGCCGAAAAACATTTCGCATCAAGGTGTGAAATTTCACGTGTTTTGTTTTGGATTGGCTTTTGCGTGTGTGTTAAGCAAAGTTTGTAAATTTAAGTTTTTTTTAATTTCTAACAAAATCAATGAGTCAGTGCTTAGCATTTGAATTTTAAATCTAGATCTTGTTTTGTTCACTACAATCCTTTAGTGAAAGTTTCAAATCTTTTCCATTCAAACTAGACTGAAAAATATCTCTTGGTCAGGAAAAAAAATTTTATTATCCTAATATCACTTTTGGATTTGTCAGTAGGGATCAATTCTATTATCTTCAAAAGGTGTAAAATAAAAAATGAATACCCAACGGGATTCCGTAAACCACGATATTTTCTTTGTATCTTTCAGAAATTACGATTTTCCTCAAAACAATAACGTTGAGCCATAAATCTAGATTCATATCTCTCAAAACACCTCCCAGCAATAGCAATCTGACCTCTTGACTCCTAAGTGTCGACAGTTACAGATATGAATAAAATGGACTAAAATATTCTTAATTGGAAACAATGGGAAGGTCAAATTACTTCTCTTGATTTAAAATTCTTAGTCAAGTGAGCATACGGATTCGAGTTCAAGTCAGCCTAACTCCCTCTTCAGACTCTTTTGTTTTTCACTGTTTCCTTTCTCCTTGTTACACTAGATGGCGCAGCTGGGTCGACCATGTTAGGGGCAGCCATTGACATCCAATAATGGAATAAACCTTAGTCTGGTGGCTAGGAGTTTATAAACTTAACCTCACTTGACTTCTCCAAAAACACTATTAGGAAGCTCTATTTAAGTCTGTTAAAAGACAATCATTTTTTTTATTCTTGCTTCCAGATGTAGTCGAACGTAGATAAATAAAATAAAAATTTAAAAAAAAACAGCACCGCTAGGGTGCATTAGTTTTCTTGGTTCACTGACTATTGAACTTTCGCACATACACACACGTTTCACACAAGCAGTAGTTTTAATGTCTTTTTCCTTTGATTTCAGTTGTCTACATATGGAATTCCTTTTGTTAATAACATGCATTAATCGTTGTTTGGCTTAATTCCCATGTTTTGTGTTTCTTATTTACACCCGGACACATTTGAGTCAGCCAAATATAGTTTGCGGTACAAATGTTCTTGGAAATATTTACTATAAAAACCTCACAACAAAAGAAGTGATTGCCGCAACAAAGTGCCGTACTAGATTGGTAGGAAGGTCTCATCATTTTACAATGGAAATGGCTAGAATTGACTTCTATACTAACAGTTTCTTCGCTCGCACTTCTGGCTTTTTGCTTTACAGTCAAATTTGATCTTCAAAATTTTAAATGGAATATCTACTGTTAACTTTGTGTCTTAATTTCTATTGTTTTATTGTTCTCGCTCCTTAATGATGTTGTTCTTTTTTTATTCTTTCAGATTCAGTCAGCCCTTGCATCTTAGTGGCTCTATTGCCTTGCTTAAGGTGAAATGATAAAAAAAAAAAAAAAACTCCAATAGCATCAGTTCCAATCCGTTCGTCATGTCCTTTTTGTCCTTAGAAACTAGATTTCTAAATCGATTTCCCCTAAAAACACAAATAATGTCTTCAGTCTTCTAAAGAAGTTTTAGCGTGAATTTGATGGAAGTTCTTGCTTCTATTTGATAGGATTCATGTTGTTCTGAAAAAGACATTTGAGGGGAAAATGAAATAAAACCAATAAATAAAATAAGAAAGAATAAGAAAAAAAAAATTATTTTCCCATGATGCAACTTATAAAGAAACCGGAAAATGTTTCTTGTCGCCTGTGCGCTTTTATGACCTCACTTCCGGAAAGAACAAGATCTTTGTCTTTTCCACTTTCTAATGAAAGCGTTCGCCGTGTTTCAGCAGCCCTATTCATGTGAATTGGTTATTCCAGTTCAGCGCAAAGCTGACTTGAGCTCGACTATTTTAAGTTTTTAACCATTGTTATCCTAACTTCTGAACCAAAAAGGAAAACGGACATATCCAAGAGACTCTGTTTCACTACCTAGTGACTACAGTCACTATAAAAACAGGATAAACGGTACGTGGTTTGAAACTTAAGTTTATGTATGCTTCTTCTTTAATTGTTTAGATGCGAACACGCCCCCGCATAAAATACATAAAACATTTTAACTTCCATACCGTTTTTAATGGTATAAACGTCAATCTAGTACTTTGAAATACTTCCAATGTATTTCTGTAGTGTTTTTCTAAGTGTAGCTTGATGTGATACATAGCCGAAAGTATGAGGCACCCAGTGAGGATCGAACTCACTACTCAGTTGTAATTGATCAAGTGTGACAAGTTTGCTAACCATTATATTACATCGAAGTGCCTAGGCGATTTACTAAGATGTGGCACAAGGCCGAAAGCATGGGGCACTCAGTGAGAATCTGAAGAATGAAGATCAACATGCACAACATGCAAATCTGCACTCATTGTGAAACACATTTTAACTCACTTAGCACCTGTAAGATAGAAATACTACCCACCTGGGTATGACGATAAACTACATCCGGCAGCATGACCTCTGATCAGGAGGTTTTGAGAAGCATGGAACCCCCTCTTAATTACTGTTGTTCAGAGTTCCACCCTGACCTGGGGTGGTAGCACCTGTTAGGTACCAGTTTTGGTAAAATAGTAAACCCCCATACTGAAGTAAAAATATTATGAAAATATAAAAATACATTTTATAGTCAAAATAATAGCAGTAATATATTTTTGAAAAAAGATTAAATAAATTAGCAAACCTCTCAAGAAAATTAAATTTCAACATTAAATGACCCATAAAGAATTTGGTATGCAGTAATATTTATGTTTAGTTTGGTTTACAAACTAAACATAAATATTACAAGGAAACTAACAGGAGAAAACTAATTTAAAATACTTATACTCTCAACATAATTAAGTACCTTAGTAAATCGCCTAGGTACTTCGATGTAATGGTTAGCAACCTTGTCTCGCTTGATCAATTACGATTGAATCGTGAGTACGATCTTTAAGGTTCTTTAAAAGAAATAGGGTTATACCAAAACATATAACACCTTCAACAGATCATGCACAAATTATGTATCTATAAAACATGGTACTCCGACATTTAACCAATGGACATTTAACCAAATAGAGATTTAGCCAAAAATATAATGGTGTACTTACGTGTATGTCCCACTCTTTATTATAATGTGCTACATATATTTATATTTATTTACTGTATTAATTTATAATTTTTCGCTTTTTTTTAACAGGCTTTTTTTTAAATACTTCAAATATTACTGTAAGATGATAAGTATTTTGAGAAAAAGCACATTTTACTGCAGCAAAAATCTTTAGCTTTTATGATATGAAAGATCTTTCAATTTCGATTTTAATGACCATCGTCTTATAAGGATGAACTAGCTTTTATCTTACTGTTAAATATGAATTTAAATAATTAGCTGCTACTTTTTACACAAATACACTAAAATATTTTTAAAAATACTAATTTCAATATTGAAATAAGAAAAACTTTTTTTAACTTTAAATTTAAATTTAGTAATTTAATCACTTGAAATTCAATAGTAATTATTAGTCCTAGTCTACCTTATAATACTGCTTATTAAAATACTTAAAGTATTGCTTGGTACTATTTTTACTTGTACTTTTTTCTTGAAATGGCCATCGGCCAAATGTCTATCAGCCAAATGTCCAGCAATGATAAAACATACGGTGAACCTAAAGTTATAAAATTATTTTCAATATATCTGCAGTCGAAGGCATAAAACTGTGTTCAAAATATTTAGATTGCTGCATTTAAATAACCTATAGAGGTTGATATGCTGCCAAATGAAATCATCCAAACCAATCTTCTACAATTCAAAAATATTTTAACTTTAAATAACCCACAAAGGGTCGATAACCTAAAAAAAACAATCAATTTCTTGGTGCTCTACAAATAAAACTGAACAAGCTAAGTTTAGTAAATATTAGCCTAAATTATTGGAAATGTGTGGACATAAAAAATATAAAGTCAATTTTTTTTGTATTCTACTGCTTTATTGAAAGTATAAAGAGTCTTCAGGGTTAATGAAATCTTGGTTCTTCATTTGCTAGTAAGAATTATTCTTATACAATTCAAAGATGCTTCAGCTTTAAATGACTCTCAGAGAATTAAGCCACAAAAATCATTAATAAGCTTGAAAAGTTTATAGAATCAAATATGGATGAAATCCTCAATCTAATCATCCTGTACTGTCTGACAACTGCTCTCAATTTTTTTTTTAAACAGGATTGTCTCAAAACTTCATAGAGATTGATATGCCACTAAGCAAATTCAACCAAACTTAAACACTGAAAACATTCAATCTGACTTCTGAACACTTTTTTTTTTTTTTTTAGTTTATATTATACATTCAATAAAGATATTCTTTAGTTCATAATTTTAAAGATTTATGGGCCAAAATGTCCCTCATAGAATTATATAACAAATTGATAACAAAATTTAACTGATATTAACAGCTTAATCATCAGCTTAAAAAGCTGACATTTAAGATCGGTTGGCTTCATCAAATCACCTTGAATGTCATTTGATCCCTTTCAGTTTGACAACAAATAAGCTGCTGAGAAGAAAATAAAACCCACTTAAACTGAATACTATGTAATATCCAAGTCCAATTTGACAATTAACTCTTTCAAACAAGTCTAAGACAAGTCCTCCAATAGGTGTGGCTAGAGCCTGGGGTAGAATAAGGGCTTGGTGCCAAACTGCCATGTCTTTAGCCTTGTTTCTTTCTTCAGGAAGAACATCCATGACAAGGGCAAAATCTACTGCTTGGTAAGCACCAAATCCAATTCCTGAAAAAAAAAAAAAAAAATTCTTAGGTTATTCCCAAATCCAAATGTTATTCTGGAAGGTTAAATAAAAGCCTTGTTAAAATATTCAAAATGTCTGCAAAGGAAAGAGTACATGCTACCCACCAATGCCTACTAAAGAATAAAGAACCATTATTGCTTGTTTGTTTCATAGAATTTCACCCCAAGTAAGGTAATAAAGTTCACTAAGATACAAGCAGTTAGTGAGTGGAAGAAAATGAGAAAATATTAAGAGGAGAAAGGACAATAAAAGAAGAGCATTAAAAAAGAGGATTATGATGAATACAATGTCAGGAGACAGCCATGTATTGATAAGGTGTCACAAATTCCAATAAACACAAGCCAAGTACAACAGAGAAAGAATAAACACTGAACCAAGTTAGTTTTTGTCCTTCATAAAGGAGATTGGCCTTTTATAATTGAAATATAAGTTTACAATCTCTTTCTGATACAGTTTATACTTGGAAAAGTCCTACAATAACATAAGATGTCACCTCTAACTGTGTACGTCTTGATAATCTGTAGCAAATTCCATCAAACACAAGTTTAGTACTACAAAACAGATAGCGTAAAGGAACTGCAGTTCATAAAGGAGATTGGCCTTTTATAATAGAAATATGAGTTTACAATCTATTTCTGTACAGTTTATACCTGGAAAAGTCCTATAATCTATTTTAACTAAACATTTATTACAATGTATTTTTATAAAAGTTGCATCTGGAAAAATCCTTTATATAATTTATATATATGAGCATATGGTTTGATGTTTAAAAAAGTTTGTTTTCCAACTATGCTATCCAGGTTCAAGTCTCACCATAGTTGATTTGTCAGGAATGTGACATCTTAATGTTATCAGTCTGGGGGAGACGATCCCAGCATGTAGCACATTTGGAAAATGCCTGAAGACCATACCATGGGTTGATCCAAGCTTTGTGAGTCAAATTGGGTTGAGGGAACTATTTGAGGGCCATCAATAGTTGTACTAGCATGAAGTCACAAGTCATTGTGACCGAGGCGTTGAGTGTGCTGGCTTTTTTCAGGCTGTTGATCATGCCAGATAATGCACTCTTTGTCAGAAATGGTAACTAATGTCCACTTAGCAGAGTTGTAATATAAACCACAGGTGGGATCTGTGGGTGTTGAACGAACACAATTGTGTTTCTGCCATCTGATGATTGCGTAGAACAAGAAACTGGTAGTCTTGGAGAAATCTTTAATCTTTAATCTTAAATCTTAAGAGAGCATAAAGTCATCCACATTCACTCGCACACACACATATATATACAGTGTCTGCAAACAAATGTCTACACACTGCAGGGAAAGGAAAAATTTGTCTTTCATAGTTTTATCAAATTGCGATAACAGTGAGGGACCCTAAAGGATGTTGTGCATCACAGAAAACTGACGACATTGGTTGAGCTTAGACAAGAAATTGAAAATGCATGTGCTGCAATCCAACTGTACAGTTTGGTCAATGTTGTCCCAGCAATAGTTTGTTGTACTAATAAATGTCTGGAAGCTAACTCCCACCATTTTGAGCATCTCTTTTCAAGTCCAAAGGTAACTTGTATTAATCTTGTGATGTCTGAATAAATTTAGTATTACAATATCAGTACAAAGTTTTCCTTTCCTGAAGTGTGTATATATATTTATAGCAGACTCTGTATGTATATATATATATATATATATATATATATATATATATATATATATAGGTAAATTTTGATTTGCCAATAAAAAACCTTCAAATTTTGAAGCCAAAAAATCAATCTAAAAAAAGAAAGAGCTAGAAACATGAAAGTCTCTCAAAAAAAATCGCACAGATACAGGTTCAAACCCCAAAGAAAAAAGCCACGACACAAGTAAACAATTAACTAAAAGGAGCTCAATACAACCGTAGAGCAGACCTAGATAAACCTAGTGAGCCAGACAAACCTACCCAGGTTTCACCTAAGCGCATCGTCAGGGAAAGCTGGCTAACGAGGCAAAAGAGAAACAGCATATATATATATATATATATATATAAGCAAATATATGGATATAGATCCGACATTATGAAGAAAAATATACGGAAAAAACAAACAAAAATCCTAATATGCAATTATTAACATTAAAACAGCATAATTGCATATTAGGATTTTTGTTTGTTTTTTCTATATATTTTTTTCTTCATATATATACATATATATATACATATATATATGTGTGTGTGTTCAGTTGTATGCTTTTGTGCTCATCAGAGAAACTGGTTTATTTTTTCAAAAGTGGATTTATTTATGCTTATTTTTGTTTGATCCTTTGTGTGTGGTGGAGAGGGGAATTTTCTTTACTCTTTATTTGACACACTCACATACATAGGCACACATGCATTCAGGTGTATGCATTTTAGCTTGTACAAACACACCTATATAAATAATCTGAGGTTAAGTGCAGTTACACATCGATGCAGTCAAGCATACATATTGTAATGACAAAAGTATGCAGGTGTAGGCTTATAAGAGGAGCTTGGTTGCCTAGTGCGGTTTCTTGCGAATGGCCTTGTGTCAGACTACCAAAATTCACCGTATAAGAGTATTTTGATATTCCCTTAGAACATCAATGGTTCATGATAAGTTAGCAATGTAAAAAAATGGACAAACACCATTAGATAAGAAAAGGCAGAACAAAAATGTAAATTTATTTTTTCTTCAACAATAAATTTGGCAGGGTGCAGTAGAGGGGGGAATGCAAAGTAGATTTGGTCTCTGGAAAGGCGGTTCAACCAAATCTGCACAATGTGAGGCTGGCTTTAATGGTCGGAGGCTGTTGCATGCCAAAACGTAGTAATGTTGGCGCCAAGTGTCCTTGGAGAAGAAATAGTCCAAAACGTGGAGAAAGATTATGGAAAGTTTCCTTCTTTTTTTTTTTTTTTTTTTGAATAAACAGTATAAGGGAGGCAACTTTACCTAAGAATGTCCTTTTTTTAGTAGAAAAAGAAAAGATCAGAAGCAACTTAGTGACAGAACTAATTTGGTCGGTAGTGAGATTTCAACCAAGGAATACCACCAAGATTACTGAGCTGCAAAAGCGTTCGTTGTCTGTAAGAAGTATAGACCAAAAAGAGGGAGAGATCCAGAAAGTATAGGTATCATGTGTGGAAGCTTGTGGATTTCTGACTTACTTGTTGTTTAGGCAGGTCCGTTCGATACTGAGGTTCGTGACAAAAATGCTTGTTGCTCTAGATAGGAGGTTAGGTCAGAAAGTTGAACTAAGACCAAGTCTACACAGAAGGAAGGTAGCTTCAGCAAAAGAATTGACTATGAAAAAGGTCTATTGCTGAAGTCTAGATGGTTGAAGCTTATGTGCAGAGAGAGATGTAAAAACACATCTTCTCGACTCGATGCCTGCATGTCGTCTGTTACTCGTGGATACTTTTTGGCAGGCATCCGATGAGTCACGTGGCCGTTTGACAGGCGGCAAAATGCCAACTGTCCAAAGAACTTTGAATGGATGTTTGTTCTAAAATGGTCACGTGCCTTAGCATTGAAAGTGTTGGGTCGTTGCTCACAGACGATGAAAGGAGAGAAAGAGAAAAGGTTTGAGGCAAACGATGATGATAGGAGGGGTGTGCCAATAGGCTTTAAGAAAGCTTTATTCAACTGAGGATACTAAGTTTGCATATAGTGTCCATTTATAGTCTCAGTAAACAGAAATAGCTCTCTCAAAGAGGAGAGTAACAAAATAAGGGGAGATCACTTTTGATTATTCATAATACATATATACACACAATTATGAATATGTTAGCTCTATCACAGATATTGAGCACTTTCCCCTAAGGACCATGCATATATATATATATATATATATATGTTTCATTAAAAATAACTGTGTTCATATAAGTGTTGTTTTCTTTTCTGGACATAAAATGTGGCAAAACTGTCCAAATAAATGGTGAGGGAGAGAGTATATAAGCATTGAGGCTTTGAGGAGAATGGAAACAAAAAGTGTATTTATACTTGGAATCAGAGAGTTGATATTTCTAGGATACATAATGAGAAAAGAAGGCTTGGAAAATTTGACACACACAGGAAATACTGGAAGGATGGTGCAAAACTGAGTAACCTACCCAATCTAAGAGCTGTAAAGGATAGCAAATTATCGAGAGCCATAGTTGCCCATATCCTGAAGGGGCACGCACATAATTCACCCCATGCAAGGCAGTAAAGCCACTAAGACACAACGGTTTACTTGGTGTGGTAGAATAAGAAAGAGAAACATTATTTACTAATGACTAAAAACATAAAAAAGTAATCAGGAGGACAGTAGATAGTGAATTTGTGGTGATTGGAAAATCTCCAAAAATGTAATAAATTCAGAAGGTTAAGAAAGAAATGTACTTACCAAAAACTAAAGCTATGAAGACAGCAAAGTAATAGGCATAGTTTCCTTGTATAAGCATAAGGCCAACCACAGTTATTGTCATGAGAATACCTGAAAAGAAATTAAGTTTCATTACATCAGTACAAACTTTCCTGACTATAAACTACATTTAGCAGCAAAGCCTCGGATCAGAAGGTTTTGAGGGGCATGGAACCACCTCTTAATTGCTTTTGTTCCCAGAACTATTTTGTCTCGGGGTGGTAGCACCTGTTAGGGTTCTAGCTATAGGCTAATAGTGAATCCCCAAACAAAATCAAATCACTAGGAATATTTGTCTTAGATGAGACCTCTATTCTAAATTAATTCTTTATACTTATATTAAGTGGATAATTTGGGCATTTCGACGTTAGAAATTACGACTGAGTAGTGAATTCAACTCGGTGCTCCATACTTTCGGCCTTGTGCTACATTTAAACTATCCTTAGTAAATCACTATATTGATAGAAGTGAAGCAGGTTTATATGGTCAAGGGAGACAACTCAATTTAAAAAATTAAGTCTCATTGAGTTATCTCCCTTAAATCAAGATCATAAAATTTATATATCCAAGATTTAGAAAATCTCATGCAATTTTTATCCTGATCAAATTGCAACTTGAAAAATCTTTGTTATATAATTTATATTTATTCCCGAAATTGTTAAAATAATACTTATTCGGAGGGAATGAATTATTCTTATACAATTTAAATGTTTGGGTATTAAATGTCCCAAAAACTGTTGAAAACCTGTAAAACAGTCAATTTTAATTTGATCCATTTCATCTCTTACACCCATTATGGTTGCATTCTTAGTTCACGTATCATATATATATATATATATATATATATATACAGTGTAACCCGGATATAAGAGAGTTTGGTCTATTTTGTTTAGGTAAGTATGGGCTCTAATTTGGGACCAGAGAAAATCTCTATTATATCCGGGTTACACTGTATATCATAGTATATATTTTTGATTTTGAATAACTGGTTAAAGAAAAATTAAAACATCTTTGTCAATTTTTTCAGTAATGCTAAATAAAATTCATACATTTCGTTTATAATACTTCATCAGGGAGTTTTCATTCACACAAAAAAAATCTAAACTCAAACTTAAAAAATAAACATGAGTAACCAATATCATATACCTATAATATAAATATAAACAGGACGAAAACAGATAATTGCTGCATCAGATTTTTATTTTCTTATCCTTTACTATAAATAATATATTAATATATTTTTTAATAAGATAATAGGTTAGATAGTAATATATGTCTATATTACAATATCACAATAACCAAGAATATATTGTATGTGTTTAGTAATACTACATATATGAAATTAAATAAAAAGTCAAAAGTGCATTAGCTTATTTCACCTGTTCTCATAGAACCCTTGCGCACATGTTGCGAAACCTTAGGGTTCTGGGGAATCCCAGTTGAGAAATGCTAAGATAACCTAATGGAACTGTTTGAATATACTGAATCAATTAAAGGAGATTTTGGCCTTTTATAGTAAAAGATAAGTTTACAATCTATTTCTATATGGTTTATACTTGGAAAAGTCCTACAATATATTTTTAAGTAAAAAGTTTATTACAACTCATCTTTATGCAAGTTTTATCTGATAAATCAGTGTTATATAATTTATAGTTATTCCCCAAATTGTTAATACAATATTCATTCAGAAAAGAATTATTTTTATATGTGTTGTAAACTATAATTAGTTAAAAGTATTCACTACTATTTCTGTAGTTGTTTCATTTTCAAGGTTAGAATCTATAGTATTTACCAGGGTGCCTATGTTGCTATTGGATGTGACACAAAGTCAAGGTTTAAAGTGGGTTTAATAGACGTATTACATTGGAATTGTAATCACGATCCAATTCATCAGAGCTACAAATTCAAAAAGAAATTCTTTTTAAATTTGTAGGTCTGATGAATTGGATCGTGATTACAATTTCAATGTAATAAATTATAACCATGGAATATTAGTGTTTGAGCTTTTTATATTATATATATAAGTATTTTAAAACTTGCTTATATTAGTTTTGTCCCAAATTTGAATTTCAAAGAACTTTATTTTACTCCATGGTTTGAGGACTTGGTTCCTGTTTATGGCAATTCCATTAAACAACTTCATAGTTTATTTAAAGATTCTTAAAATTTTAGTTCTTACCCCCAAAAATGATGATTGGTTTTCGTCTTTCCATTCTATCTGAAACACATCCTGCAACCAAGGAACTGAAAATATAAAAGATCTCACATTAAGAGTTGCACCTCATCTTAAAAAAAAAAGAAGAAATCAAATTTTTTTTTATTAAACTTTGCTATAATTTTTAATATTAATGAGTTTCAGGCCATCAAAAGTAAAATCTAAATCAGTGTTTTTTAAAAAACCATCTTAAGATGAATTAGGATCAGATATGGATCAGAATCTGGCAAAATGATAGAATAAAGAATAAATAGGAAATGTTTATCAATCTAATATGTTAAAAGATATAGAACATGTGAAAAAGTACCAAACATAATCTATATATATAAAATAGAGGATGTCTGTGTGTCTGTCTGTGTAATACTTTTTCACTCAAGATCCATCCAACCAATTTTGACCAAACTTGGCATATACATTGTACTATGTAAGAGATAAACTTTTAGCATAAAAAATCGATAATTTTTAAGGAATCAATAATTGATAAAACCGATCAAAAATTGATAAATTCAACTTTTTTCCTCTGATTTTATTCAAACTCAGTATGTTGATTACTTACATCATGACAATATCTCATTTTTATTTCTATGCAACTATGTTTAGCAAAAAAAACGTGAAAAACAAGAAATTGATATTAACACAAATCGATTTCAACCCAAATTTTGAACTAAAAACTCCCTCAATTTTCAAGCAATCTAATACAAACTTCTCTCAATTGTAGCCAACAATAATTTAATTGTTTAACGGTCATTTAACTTGATAAGTGAGTCCACCCATATAGTGAAAACCTGTATAAATAGCAAAAAATGGTGATTTTTACTGGTTTCTTTCTTATTTTTCATTGATCTTTCAACCAATTTTCATCAAACTTATCAATCGCTTTATAAATGTATCCTCTTTTACATCCCTGATAACACACTGAGAAATTGAATTTTAAAAACTCCAAAATAATTGTGGTCTAAAGTAGGTCTTCAAGTTGCCTGTTTTATCCCTTCATGTCCTCAGCTAACTTCGATTAAATAAATACAGACTACTTCTGTTATATCAGTAACTGCATTAATTCAAAATGTTTTTTAATGAAAGTACTTTAAATTAATTGAAGAAGATAGACTCTGTTACATCTAAACATGATGCTGTTTTTGCTCCATTCTAATTGAATGTTTTTTCTGATTGACCAGCTGGGCATGGCTGGTAGTGTCTACTAAACAAATGCACACACACACACACATGCACTTACAAATATACATTATCATCTGAATCCCACATAGACAAACTGAAATTATTATACACTTGCATACATAAAGCTATATTTGTTCCATGTGAATCAACTGTTTTAATGATGACCAAGCCATAAAATTATACAAAACTCTACAGGATTTAGCTACAGTAGAATTTAATGGCTACATATATCACTTCCTATAGTAGAAATCTCACATTTGCTCTCATTAACTGATTGAGCACTATGGAGAAAGGGATTTTTTAACAGCTGCTGCTCCTGCTTAATGCATAGCTCTTTGTCAGAATTGAGCACTCTGGCTGCTGGTCTAGCATTTATATACATCACGTATATTACATTAAAAGATTCCCTTTCTCTTATTGCAAGCACAACCATCAATGCCCTATCTACAACCATCTACCCAATTTCACTCAGCTTGGTCAACCACTGGGATGGTTTGAGGCATTTTCTAAAGGTGCCGTATGCAGGGATCACCTCCCTCAGACAGATAACATCAAGAAGTCATCTTCCTGACAAATCGACCATGGCAAGATTCAAATCCTGGTCTCATGATCAGAAAGTGAACATTCAAACCATTTGGCCACATGTCCATATATATTATTTAAACAGATACTTACCTCAAGGCTGCAAAGAGGAGTAGTGGCAGTAGCATGATAGCTACTGCAGTCTGTGCTGTCCAGCAATTAGGAAGGTAGATCATGTCATCTAACCAATATTCCAAGAACCTCAAAAAAAAAAAAGATATTATATCAAAATAAACTGTACACATTAAATATTAAAAATGAACGTACATAATCTTAAATGGAAGATCTTTGGATTTGAGAACTTAAAGAATTTATTTAAGCTCAGTTGTCTTATTTTAAGGCAAGACATTATAAATCAATCGCAGACTCAAGGACACATGGCACAGTGGATAAAGGCATTAGTAAGATCCAGTGACAGGACCCAAAGAGTGTGAGTTCAATACCTGGTTAAGGTGGTGGAGAACTTAGAGAGGGGAATTAACAGGAAATAACTGATAGCTGACATCCATTAGACATGGCATGTGGAACTAGAACAGTCTACCTCAGCGAGTGAAATAAAGGGTTCAGATTTACATTCCAATCACCTGAAGAAGGCCAGAGCGTACAGCAGCCAAAATGTTGTGATAAATATGGCAATAAAAAAAGAACATTACTTTGGGCAACAGGAGTGTTTTTAGCTCTTTGTGGGTGAAGAGGTAGTGATTTGCCAAACGTAGATTGGATGTGGCACAAGGCCGAAAGTAAGGGGCACCCAGTGAGGATTGAACTCACTACTCAGCCGTAATTGTTCTAGCAAGACAATCTTGCTAACCATTATGCCACCTCGAGGTGCCCTGGGTGAAGAGGTAGTTGTGTGTTGCAATGTGACATTTTAATTTTTTTAATATACAGCCCCAGTAATTTCTGATGATTGACTTGATAAACTGATTTTTGATCCTTGGAATTATGACCCTGGACTTATGATTTTGGGGGCGGAGGCGGGGAGGCAGGGGCATTTGAACAACTCTATAGCCATTTAACTCAAATTATTTCTCTATGTTGTTTTTAGTTCTTTTTTCATCATTGTTTAATGTTGGCTAAATAATGTTTAATGTCAGATAATCATTTAGCCCCAAGCAAAGTCTGCCATGTCAACTAGGGCGATAGAATCTGCAACTCTGCAGAGGGCTAAGACCCCCACCAACAAGACCACCTGTTACTCATGGATGGTGACCCATAATGCCTGAGGACAGAAAACTGGTGGCTGAGCAGTCCATGACCCGGTATATAAATAAGCAACCCTCCTCTTTGGTCCTTACTTTGGCTAAACAGGCAAACAGAGAGGCTTGATCAGTTCCATCAACTTGTATTAGTACTGTTTTCTTTATTTCTAAAGAAAATTTTTCTGTTTCTTAATACTCTGCTTGGCTTTTGAAATGCATCTTTATTCCAGTTAATGTCATAATGAGCAGAGAATTAGATTTTTGCAATAGAATAAAACCATAACAACCTTAATTCCTTTTGATTCTTCTGTAACAGGGTAGGTATTTTGGGAATGGTGTAGTAGTAATCCTGAGTTGATATTATTTGAGTTTTGTTAAAGTAATTACCCCCATCAATTTATATATTTGTAGCATAGGAGGAATCCTTTTCCCTTTTTTATATTGAAAATGAAATGAATTAAAACATACAACAATAATATAAACATTAAAAACTTGAGACACATGTTGACATAAATAGCAAGAATTTGTATTTTCTTTTTGTGGTGTGAATTACAGAATATTGGCAGGGTGTTTGTAAAAATGTTCTCAGTGTCTCTTTTGTTTAAAAGTCAATGATCACTTGGTTTGGTTCCAAGAATTTCGTTTGTGAGGATGGCGTTTGAAATCATTTGTTTCTTATCTTCATGGAGTGCTGGCAAAGACGTGAGTTTCTGTAGTACTACCACTCCTTGTCTACTGACTACTGCTATAGGGTACCCTAGCCTACACTAATCTACTTTACTGTGGTGGAAGGGTCATTTTTTATAATGATGAGTGTAGGATAATGATATATCCTTCTTTTCTATCATCACTGAGGATAAGGTTATTTTTACAATGATGAAATATCATCATCATTCTGGACTCTAAGACTTCCAACTACTTACCCTATCACAGTTGAAAGACCCTGTTGCATGAAGAATCTGGTGAGGAAGACCCATCGGAAATTGTGCTCTGAAAATAAGCAGTGTTGGGATTTAAAATATAGACAAAAAAATGAGGTATCTACTTTGGAATAACATGCAAAACATCATAAATCTTTTAATGACTGAAATTTAACTGAAACAGCACAAAATTATTTGTGTTACAGAGGAGGACAAAGTTGGAAATCCACAAAGGAAAAGACAAAACTCATAAGTGGGTGTGTAATTTATGACTCTTCTTTCCAAATATTATTTTAGGTTATGTATGGTGTTCAATAAGGGCTATAATGAAACTTTGGCATATATACTTTAGCAATTTAACTCCCAGTTCTGTATTTACTTGACTTCAGATGAAAATTTAGAAATTATAAATATAGGAAAACATTTCTGGCAAACATGGATAAATGTGCCTGCAATAAGACGTAATGTTAAAAGGTCAGTTTTTCCCCAGGATACCGCTTTTTTTCTTTTTTTTAAACTACCTTCACTCTTCTGAAATGTTTATTAATTTAAAAAGTGATGATTAGCTATTTAACTCCCAGTTCTGTATTTACTTGACTTTAGATGAAAATTTAGAAATTATAAATATAGGAAAACATTTTTGGCAAACATGGATAAATGTGCCTGCAATAAGACATAATGTCAAAAGGACAGTTTTTCCCCAGGACACCTCTTTTTTTTTTTAACTACCTTCACACTTTAGCAATATTTATTGTTTTAAAAAATGATGATTAGTATTGTAATAAAACCTAATCAAAGGAAAGGGAATTTATAAATTTTCTTTTGTTCTTGAGAATTTACAATAAAAATATATGAACAGATCGCGATATCTATTAGGGTGATGTGATTAAATATACTTTAATTTTTAAAAATAATGTATTCAGTAATATTATTATTTAGGTAAAAAGCATTACAACATAGCACAAATAGTGGAAAAAGGAATTTTTGACAATATATGCATTTTTTACGTATTTATGTTTATTTTTAACTTTTATCAAAAATGACATTCTTGTACATGTAGTTATGGATCATATTGTACATTAATTTCTAAGTTTTTAATTAATAACTATTTGTGCTCAGTTGTTGACATTAATAGCTATCTGCTGATATGTTAAAATTTTGGAATAATGCAGTAATAAAAATTTAAATTTCATCTCTTTGATAGATGTCACACTCTGTAAACACTATTTATTTATTAGCGTGTTTATTTACACTATTTAATTATACTATTTATTAGAACGTTTGGCAAAACATCGGCTAATTGCCAAATGATTTGAACTTTATAAAATAGTAAATACTAAGGATTCCATCATAGTTGCTTCATATATTTTAATAATTAAGCAAATTTTTATAAATTTATGAATAAATAATTGTTTTCATATTTATTTCTTTATAAATTGGTAAATGATAAATATTGCATTAGTTTTAATTGTATTAGTTTTTAGAATGTTGTAAATATAAAATTATTCTTGTAAATAAACAATCTAATATAGTATTTAATATTTTTGTTGCAAATTCTCAAGAAAAATCTTACTTATTATAAAACGCAGATTGTGTGTGTGTGTGTACGTTTATATATTGGATCGGATTTCCTACATTTTTCAACCGATTTCAACAAAACTTCACAGGATTGCGTAAAATTACCTTACGGTGGTTCTGACAGTGCCAAAAATTGAAAAAAAAACACAATTGTTTTTGCACAAAATCAATTTGAAAACATGATAAAACACGATTCTGTCGCCAGAATGAAAGGGGGACAACTCATATCGAGTTATACTTATTATAAAACCCAGGTTGTTTGTTTGTGTGTGTGTGTTCATTTATATATGGGATCGGATTTCCTACATTTTTCAACCAATTTCAACAAAACTTCACTTTTTGTTTTTGGCAGGTAGTGTTTCTTATTGTCTTGCACACTTTTTTCTTTATTTTTACATTCAGAATGCTTTAAAAATTCCATTTACAAGACAATTGTTTATAATAAAATTCTATTCAATCGATAGACACATAACAATTGAAAACAATGTTTTTGTTTGGGTTTGGGTTTGACCAATTTAAAAAAAAAAAAAAAAAAAAAAAAAAACTAATTAAGACATGCGTGTCTGTCAGCCTTAAACAATAATCTTTGTCAATTTTATTTTTCAGTCTTTATGATGGTCGATACTTGATCTATCTCTTACTGTTACATCCCCGGGCAACGCCGGGCTCTACTGCTAGTAATGTATAAAATCACTTTCATCATATGTTTAGATTTTATTCTAATTCTAATCATCACCTTTTAAAACAATAAAAATTGCTAAAGAAGGAAGGTAGATAAAAAAAAATGCAGTGTCATGAGAGAAAGTGTACATTTGACATTGCATCTTATTGTGAGCAGGTTTCTCCATGTTTGCCTTATTTTCTATGATTCTGATCTGCTATAACTGATCAGCAACCTTGACATATTTGGGAAGGATATTAAAATAATCAATAACCTATAACGGCAGCAAACCACCTGGATGCGGATAGAAAATGAGTTCAGCAGATATACAAGAATGCAAAAAGGATGTAAGATGACGATGTGTCTTCTCATTGGACCTGTTCAACCTATACAGCAAGACAATTCTGAGAGAATTAGAAGTCCTACCAGGATTCATTATTGGCAGCCACAATCTTAACGATATAAGATATGCAGATGACACAGTGTTGATAGCAGGCATGGAAAGTACAAAACCTAAAATACCTGGGAAGAGGACAGAAAGTTCGACATTGAAATCCAAAGGTGCATTGGGGTAGCCAAAAAAATACATTCCAAAAGCTAAGCAGAGTATTAAGAAATAGGAAAACTTTGTTTCTAACAAAGAAAAGAGTATGTGATATTTGTCATCATATATGGCAGTGAATGCTGGACAATCTCCTCAAAGATAAAGAGACTTGAAGCAACAGAAATGTGGTTCTACAGAAGGATGCTGAGGCTACTAGGACTGAACATATGAACAACAATGTGGTTTTAGAGAAAAAGAAAACTTATACTTAACATCAGGAAGAGGCAGTTAAGTTTCTGGGGCACATAACGAGGAAGGTGGGCTTGGAAAATCTGATACTCACAGGACAGGTTGAAGGCAAGAGAGATTGAGGAAAACAAAACATAACATACATGATGTGCTTGATTAAATGGATGGCAAAATATGGTTTAGGAGAAATAATAAAAAAGACAAAATTTATTAAGAGCTACAAGGACAAGATGTTGTGGAGGGTCATGACCGCCCACATCCTGAAGGGACATGGCACATGAAGAAGAATAGAATAAATCAATTACTTAGTTAAAAGGAACACTTTGTAACAAATTCAATTTTGTAATTATTAATAAATAATAACATATAATTATTTGAAATTTTTTTTGGAAGAGGGCCTGGGATTTTGTATAGCTTACGGTCTCAGTAAGTGAAAATCTGGATCTGAATAAGCAATTACTTTGTTGATGGCTTTTATTATCAAGTATGGATAAATCTATAAAAGAATTTAATATAAGGGTGGTACCTTGCCAAATGTCAAAAATTAATAAGCATACAAGATTTCCTATTTAAAGACAGAAGCACTGAATTGACAATGAAAATAAGCTTAGCACAATCAAACTGGTTATGGGTGAATGGAGGCAGGGTTCTACAAAAGGAAGAAAGGATGGGTTATCATTGTCTCAGCTGCACATAGGCCACACCCATACCTCACCTGTTCATACTTGTTGAAGAATGGAGATCAACCAACATGTACAATATATAGCATGCTGCACTCATATTGAAACACATTTATATATATATAAAGTTGTAGCCTCTGTCTGTCTGTTTGCTATCAGACTCCTCCTAGGGTTTTGGAGATAGACTCCCATAAGCATATAAATTCTGAAACTGCATTACAAAGGGAATTTGGATAAGTATATTTCATTTTGATCACAGAGGGGTCCCCGGTGGGAACAAACTCCCAACTGAAATTATTTTCCCTTTGATTTAAATTAAATTTAAATTTGAACAAGGGAATGACTCCTATCCAAAATATAGAAGGAGAAAGCCAGAAGATGGAGGTCACATTGGCAAGATCATTGAGTAATAATGAAATGCATTACTTTTCTCCACAAATTATAACAATGATTTAAAATCAATCATCTTCTTACAAAAAAAAAATGTGTGACATGCAACAAGGCATGGGTAATTCAGCTAGTTTTAATGAATATACTTACTTAGCCTTGTAAGACATTAGTACTACAAGGAAACCAACATAAGAAAACTATCTGAAAATACTGAAACTGTCAACAAAACGTCCTACCTTAAGCAATTAGATTTAACAACACATATAACACCTACAACAGATCATATACAAACTATATATCTCTAAAACATACTTTTTTTTTCTTTTTTTAAGCATTTCACCCCAAGCAAGGTGGGAAGCCACTAGCACACAAGGGGTTACAGAGGATTTGGAGTGAGAGCAAAGAGGAGTTATAGAGGAAAGGATGAAGAGAAGGATAGGGGAGATGTAATGTCAATCGGCATCTGGAGATGCCGATTGACATTACATTTGAATAGTTGAAGATTATAGCTATCAGGGAAACAGGAAAAGGGGAGGGAGTTCCACAGGTGAGAAGTGTGAGACATGAAGCTATTGGAGTAGAAGAGACGGCTATATTTAAGTTTCAACAATGAAAGGGTGAGAGCAAGATGCCAGCCTAGTTGAAATTCTGAAAGTATGCTATTATATACAAAATATCTAGTTGAAAGCATAAAGTTGCATTCAAAATACAGGATGCCCAGTAAAAAAGGCAGTAAATTCAGAAGTAATTACATGAGAGTCAAATGATTATTCAAGGTCAGGAATATTCAATAAATTTCCTCAAGGTTATTCAAGGTCAATTATTCCTGAAAGATAAAACAGTGATAATAATTTTGCCACTTTTTTACTGGGTACCCTCTACATTTAGTTGAAGCTGTAAAATTGTGGTAAAAATATTTAGATTTCAACATCAAATAACCCATAGAGGTGTTGATATGCAGCTAAACAAAATCAGCCAACCAATCACATGTGCACATCTTGAGTACAGTCAGGGGCAACAACTGATATCATGTGAAGAACAGATTTGCATTTAGTGGTTAGGAAGTCATCTTTCAAGTATCCCTCACCTGGCTTCTTTAAATGCATTCATATATAACACTGAGTGCAAAGTGCAGGTGAAAAAAAAAAAAAAAATGATGATGAGGGGGAAGGTAAAAAAGTGCAATGTGTTGCTTGCCAGCAGGCCAGCTGTTTTTTTTTTTTTTCGGTTGCCTCAAAGAAATAGATTGTGTGACTCCCTTTCTCAGTCGTTACACTGGGCAGTTGTGAAACAGACACCAACTCAGCCACGCCTACATCGACTTCCTCTTTGTCCGTCTGTCATTCCATACGTCCAACTCTATTACATGCAGTCTGCTGAATGACTCCCTGATCATTGGTGCTGCTGGCACCCCACTTTTTATGCTATTCAAAAATGGCCAAAATTTGCATGTGTGCAAATATCGTCTTGTTTTGGACGAGATATGCGCGCATAAATTGTCTTCAATAGTGGCCATATTTCTTTTTGTCATCACTTTGCAGGCAAGACACATTTACACTCATTTCGAATTCTGAGGTAAGTCATGTCTTTCGTCACAAAGAGGCCCTTTTTTTTAGTCACATGCTACATGAGCCACAATGAAGATCTTGAATACAATTGTTTATCAGCTTTACTTGCTAACTGAAAATGGTATATGATACTGAAATATTTTTACCCCTACCTTTTAGTGGTTTGTAAAATCCGGTGATTACAATCTTGAAACCTGAAAAATGAAACATCAGAGGTTATTATATCAAGGTATTTTATTTGGAATCTCCTATTTTTCTGATTGCTATATATTGGTTAAATTGGTGAACTGAGATCACTTATGAGTTTAGGTCTTAGCTTTTGTCCCCTATTAAATATATTAAAATAAAGATTAAAAGACTTATTCTTCAGTGGAGTTTGGAATTAAAATTTGGAGGTTGATTTGAACTCAAAACTAAAAAATGAATTGTTGTACAGCTGGGAAATTCATATAATGGCCCAACTTGCATGTTCCAGTTGCTCCACACTTTCAGCCCTTTTGCCACAATCTAAGTTCCACTTAGTCAATCACTATTGGGCACTTTGACATGATGTCATGGTTAGCAAGCTTGTCTTGTTTGATCAATTGTGACTGAGTAGCAAGTTCCATCATCACTTGCTCCTCATATTTGGACTTACGCTTATTCATAGAAAATCATTCATGGTTAGCAAACTTGCCTTGTTTGATCAATTACAACTGAGTATGGAGTTCGATCCTCACTGGGTGGTCCACACTGTCAGTCTTGTGCCACATCTAAGCTATGCTTAGAAAATCATATTTTTGGGTACCTCGATGTGGTGCAATTGTTAGCAAGCTTGTTTCATCATATGAATTACTCGTGTGTTTATTCTTCAATAGTTTCTCCATATTTTTGGCCTTGTGCCACATTAAGTTCTGCTTAGTAAATCAATGTTGGACACTTCAACGTGGTCTAATGTTTAGCAAGATTGTCTCACCATATCAATTATGACTGAGTAGTGAGTTCAATCCTCACTGGGTGCCCTATATTTTTTATACTTGTTCTATGTTTACAAAATCATCATAGATGTCAAGTCATAAGCTATTCTTATATTTTGCCAGGTTAAATGACATTCTATAGTTAGAATAACAGGATTTGAATGTTCCTTCTGTGGACTCAATGTACACTTTCCAGGGCCATTGTCTGTGTGTGGTGCATGTGTGTGTGTATATATATATATATATATATATATATATATATATATATATATATGTATATAAAAGAAAGAGCTTGTAGTGGTTCCAACGAGAGAAAAGTATGTATATTAAAAAAGAGAAGAGAGGTGCAACAATTTTTTTTGGTTGTAATGTGGATTTATTTTCAAAAAAAATATTATTTTTGTTTTACATAATTTTACTACACATGTTTCTGGTCTCATTGACTGTCTTCAATAAAAAAAGTGGAAATTCCCATATTATTAAAAATAATTAATTTTTTCTTATGTTTTTCAATGTTAAATATTCTCGATATGAGACACAGAACTCTTCATTGCCAATTCAAGAAAGAAATTCGGATTACTAACACAGAAAATGTCTCATGTCGAGAATATTTAACATTGAAAAACATAAGGAAAAAATTAATTATTTTTAATAATATGTGGAAATCTCCACTTTTACCTGAAGACGGTCATGAGACCAGAAACACGTGTAGTAAAATTATGTAAAACAAAACAATATTTTTTCTAAATAAATCCACATTACAACCAAAAACGTTTGTGGCACCTCTCTTCTTTTTAATATATATATATATATATGTGTGTGTGTGTGTGTGTATATATATATATATATATATATATATCAAATATGTGGTGCAATTCAATTTATATTACAATGAATCATTCATACAAAAAGTAAATTAGTAAAGTTAATGATATAAAATGGCAAAATCCCTTCGCTAACAAAATTTTATATTACATTATATATATTTCATTATATTTTTTCGTCTCAGATGCTACCTGAATTTTACCAAAAGACAAAATAATTTCCATGCCTGAAGATGACTGAATGTATAGTTAAAAGTACTCGTGTATTTAAGAAAGACATATTACAGTTTATAATTTTAAAAAACAAGGAGCATAACATTCATCTAGTGATTAGTAGGTTAATGCATCTTTAAAATTTTGTTAGCGAAGGGATTTTGCCATTTTATATCCCTAGTTTTACTGATTTATTTTTGTATGAATGATTCATTGTATATATATATATATATATATAGTTTATGCAAAACTAGGTAATCTGTATGGGTAGACCCAAGGAGGATGATATCCAGAGAGCTCAATGTAAATTCAGAGCAAATATGTTTGAATAAAAAACACACCACTTTAAGGTTCCATGTAATAAATTATTTCACCACAGCCCCTTTTAAAGGGCTCTGGATCATCAGACTTTACTTCCAAAGGTTGAAATGAAGTAAAGTCTGATGATCCAGAGCCCTTTAAAAGGGCTGTGGTGAAATAATTTATTACATGGAACCTTAAAGTGGTCTGTTTTTTATTCAAAAAAAAAAAATATATATATATATATATATATATATATATATATATATATATATATAAAATAGCAAATTGTAATTAGTAGGGATTATTCTAAAGAGGACTTTTCAGTTCATATAAGAGCTCCATATATGATACAGAGCAAATTATAAGAAAAATTAGGAAAAAAACTTTAAAATCCAAAGTTAGTAATAAATTTATTTCAATGAATATAAGTATATTCATCTTATCAGACTGACTACATTTTATGAAATGCAATCATGATATCTCAGACAGACAAATATACAAAGATAAAAAAAAATAAAAAAAGGAAAAACAAGATAAAACAATAACAAAAATAAATGGACCAAGAAAAGTTTTCTTTGGTGGGCATACATTATGAAGAGAGAGGACAGAAAAAAAAAAGTTAATAGAATGGATAAGGGGAGATAATAACATAGGAAGGTTAAATTTAAAATGCAGTTACAATGATGTCTCAAATAAATCTCCCAGAGGAAGAGGTTGAAATTGTGTCTGATTAAACAGCATCATCATCATATAATCATCACATATTCAGAATAAAAAATATAATATACTTAATAAGAAAATTATATATTATTATAAACAAATAAAAGATAAAAATCCCCCCATATATATATATATATATATATATATATATATATTACGATATATATGCAATCAATTTACAAATACATGAATTATTCACAAAAAACTAATTTAACCTTTAAAAATTTTAAATCAAACTCCTCAAAAAAAAACAATAACTCATTTTCAATAGCATTTCGGATACAACAAACATATATTTTCGTTGTCCTCTTATTACTAAAAAAAAAAACAAGAACAACATCTATTCTATACCTGAAATGTCTGTAGGAACAGACAAGTAAAAATAAGAACTAATACGGCAGAAGTTTATATAAACAAGGATCATTTCATTCATAATGGATACGGAGGTTTTTGTATACTATTTGAATTGTTTGCGATGATGGATGTCTCGCCATTTAAATCATTAACCTTTGCATTAGTTTTTGTGTGAATAATTCATGTATGTATATATATATATATATATATATATATATATATATATACAGACAAACATCTCCTCTATGAATCCTCATCAACGGACTTTGGATGCAACGGACAAAATCTGCAGGCAAAATAAAAAATCTGCCAGCAAAAATAACTTTCGAATCATCAGCAATGTATTTCAAAATTTGTGGGCTTAGCAAAACGAGTTGTATTAGTTCTCAAAGTGACCACTTGGTGGCGGTGGCGGGCCTTTCAATTGTAAACAAAGATGGAAAGTATGATACATTAGCGCATGTGTGAGAAAGTAGCTGTGAGAAATCTATTTTTTTTTTGTTATTTTGATTAATATATCTATATTAAGTAAACATTTATTTATGCCATATATACATGTTTATAGTATTTACATTATGATCATAACTACTGGTAGTTACTATGGTGGTTTTATAATTAAAAAATAATCCCTTCCCATCTATGGACAATTGACTTTAAGGAACCACCAATCCCCACTATTAGTCCATTGATGAGAGGTTTGTCTCTTTCTCTCTCTCTCTCTCTATATATATATATATATAAAGCTACTCAGGTCATTCACAATGAAAATACTAGCAAAATTAACACCAGGCCTATTTCCATATATGTCAAAAGATGGTGGCCAATTGAATATCACTTACATATTGGTTCCTGCTCTTTGACAATCTGACATTCATCGATGCTTGTCACAGTGATGCTGACACAGATTATCAAAATAGCTACCATCATGATGTAGAGGAAACAAACACCTACAAGCTGAAAAAAATACAAAATATTTGCTGATTATTTTTGAGATCTCGCCAATTGTCTCCCAGAAGACATGTAAATGTTAACCCCCCCCCCCGCAAAAAAAAAAAAAAACAGAATTTCTCTCCAAATTTCTAGGATTATAAATTTTCATAATTTTTGATCTATTGTTCTCATCTTTGTCATAACAGCGTTTCGGCCATTGTGTTCTCTGGCCTTCATCAGGTGTTGGTTTATCTGGGTAACATTTGGAGAATTTCAGACTGAACTCTTTATCTAATCTACTGAAGTACATTGTTCTTGTTCTACAGTGCGTTTAAGGATGATGCTAGATTGGCATCTAGGTCTCACCCTTTTACTGTTGAAATAGCCAAATTCAACTGCCACTTCTACCCCGACAGTTTCTTTTCGCACAATTCCCACCTGTAAAATTAACTTCTGTTTCCTTGCTTCCCTGATAATTACAATCTTCAAAAATTTAAATGCAACATCAATTACAATCTTCTGTCTTCTTGAATCCAGTTCATCTTTTCCTCAATCCTGTCAGAGTTATCTCCTCCTTAATTCCTTAATCGTTCACTAGGGGACGCTCCCTACACTATAAATACTGGGTGACTTCTTGCCTCATTCTCTTTTTACTTTGCATTTCAGCAGACACATTTAAAAATGTATTCTCTCATAGCAATCTGCGTTTTCACCCACTTATGAGAAAACGCCATGAAACACCTATATATGTACGTACAAACTTTCACCAACATACAACCTCTTTACATTCACATACAAACACAAATGTTAATGACTTTGTCACTTGTAAATTTGTTGTTTAATACATATATTTGTTGACATACATATCAGTCTTGTTTGTTTTCTTTACATGTTCAGTAGTCATCTCCTGTTGATTTCAAGAACACATGGCACACAGTGGATAAAGGCATTGGTTAGATCCAAAGAGTTTGAGTTCAATACCCAGTTAAGGCACTGGAGAACTTTCAGAGGGAAAATTAACAGGAGATAACTGACATCCATTAAACATGGCATGTGAAACTAGAACAGTCTACCCCAGTGAGCGAAATAAAGGGTTCAGTTCGACATTCCAACCACCTGAAGAAGGCCGGAATGTACAACAGCCGAAACGTTGTAATAAATATGGCAACAAAGATGAGGACAATAGTCCAAATGATGTAAATAATGTACATAATACCTCATCTCAGAAATATAGACAGATACTAAAGTAATGTTCTTATTGATGGAAATAAGTGTAGAAGATGGACTAATATAAATGAAAATGTCTATTATAATTATGCACCATGAAGAAATGTCGGGATGCTAAATTCTAAATTGAAAAATTTTGGCTGTTCAACACTTCGAAATAAAATTGGCTGAACATTTCTGTATAGTTTCCGAATGCATTTTTTTTTTTTTAAATATTCCATACTGCATCAACAGAAGATTTAAGAAAGGTGAGATGTAAGAACCTGGACATAGATTTACCATTGGAGACTCAGAAATCAGTGCACTTTCTATATATTTTTCTCTTAATGCTGCTTTAAAGTCAAAATCATGGTCAGATTCATTATGCTAAACAGCTGATGCTTTAAGTGCATTCTTTTGTCAAAGATCCATTTTATATTTATATAATCTTTTATTTAAATTCCACAAAGTAGAACCTAAGTATTTTCTGTGACTTTTATATTCCCTTTCCCTTACATATAATTCCATCAATAAGAACATTATTTTAGTCTGAACTTCAGTTAATAACTTCTAAAAAAAAAATGATTGTGGGTGATTGTGGGTGTGTTCCATTTTGTTTTTCTCTCTTTTCTTGGACAGGCTGAGTACTTTTCAGCACCACCACATAAACAAAGCAGCTTACCTCAAAGCATGTTCCCAAGGCAGCTCCTGACACATTGCCAAAAAGAATAAGGGTTGCCATCACTCCAGATATAAAACCTGTTTGATGAAAAAGTTAATCAGACATTAAATCTTAGTACCATTTTATTTTGCATTAATGTTCACCCTATACAAGGCCTAAGAGCCACTCAAGATAGTGTTACTGAAGGAGGTTGTTGTGGTCAGCTTTGGGAAAAAGGGGGAAAGTAGAAATTTTGGGCTTGCGTGTTGTTCCTGCATCAACAGATACAGAACTTTTTACTTCTGCCACAATCAATAATATGAAATTGCGATTACTACTGAGTTAGATGAATACAATAATTATTACAATAGTGAATGCATAAAAGAACTTTTATGATGAGAAATACTGTCTATATCTCTGAGGTATTACGATTATTTACATTATTTACATTATTCAGACTGTTATCCTCATCTTCACTGTCATATTCACAACGTTTCGGTTATTGTATGCTCCAGCCTTCTTCAGGTGATTTGAATTTTAAACTGAACCCTTTATTTCATCCACCAGGGGTAGATTGTTCTAGTTCCACGTGCCATGACTCTTCTGGATGTCTCGGTTATTTCCCTTTAACTCAACTCTCCATGTTTTGGTTCACTACTTCTGTAGCCTGGTATTGAACTCACAACTCTTTGGGTCTAGTCAATGATTCTAAACAATACCTTTATCCACTGGACCATGTGGCCTTGAGGACACATGGCCCAGTGGATAAAGGCATTGGTTAGATGAGGATAACAGTCCGAGAAATACATTTAGCTGAATGTTCGACTGGAATTCTGGTAGAGCAGATGAAATATTGTAAAAATAAATGTTAAAGTGTTCTCATAGCATATATGAAATCTACAAATAGTTGAGATGTTCATAGGCATGACAAGTAGTCATTTAGCTTGTGAAATGCCTTCTTCGAAGGTTCTTCTTTGGGCTGTCTAGGGATGGGGATCAAGGTTTTTAAATCTGACAATTGACTCCCAGACAGAGATTTGGATTTTAGATTGACTCCAGGATTGAAGAGATAATCTACCCTACATATTCATTAACTAGTCCTGGGTATGATGATAAATTACATCCCACAGCAAGGCCCCTGATCAAGAGAATGGAGGTTTTGTGGAACATGGAACCACCTCTTAATTGCTGTTGTTCCTAGGTCCACTCTGACCCAGGGTTGTAGCACCTGTTAGGATCCCAGCTGTGGACAAATAGTGACCCTTCAAACAAAAATTAAAATGCTAGGAAAATATAAGAAAATATTTTTACATAAAAATACCTGTAATGTATTTTTTTTTTTTAAATTACCAATACATTTTATAGTAAAATTGCCAATAATACATTTTATAGTAGAATTATCAACAATATATTTTATAATAAAATGACTAACATTAAAAAAATATAAAAATACTTTTTTATAGTAAAATTACCAGCAATAATTTTTTTTAAATTACTAAAAACATATTTTAATATCTACAAACTATATATCTAAAATATATACGTTTGGGATGAAAGAATAAAATTTTGTACAAAATAACTTTATTTGAATGCATAAAATTGCATTCAAAATATTTAAATTTCAGCATTAAATATCCCATGTCGGTTGATATGCTGCTATACAAAATTAAATCTATTAAATAACCCTCTACCTTAAGTGACTCTTGAGCCTTGTATTGGCTAAACAATGACATAAAAAATAAAATAAGATTTTTTATAAAAGAAATAAATTTAGATGCACTAGCCTGCATGTTGTAAGCTGTTGGTCATTTGGGGTTTTGGGTTTTGTAACATCATACCACTTATCCATGGTGACCCATATAATATCAATCACTAATTTAATGGGGCACAATCCTTGAATTCAGTAATTCTTACCTCTTTGTGTAGGGTGAGACTTATCCACAACCAAGGCATTGTAGGGGACAGTTATCGTAACAAAGGCACACGTGACCAGAAGATAAAACATTACATACAGAACTGGAAAGGAAAAAGAAATTCAATTTAAAAATCAAATTTGTTACTTAGTATGTAGAGGAAAAGAAAAAAAAACATTTACAGCCAGATTAATATCTTTAATTTTAAAGATCTTACTAGAAATACAAAATTATACACAATGCTATAAAAAGACATTTTTAAAAAGGGAAAATTGAACAAAAAGTCATTGGAAAACATGGGCTTATATACCCACCATAAGACGTAGTGTGAAAAGGAAAGATAGTGTTTATTATTTTTGTAGTCAGTTCTCAAGAAATATTAAAAATGTATAAATTCCCTTTCATAGGCTTAGATTTTATTACAATTCTAATTATTGCTTTTTAAAACAAACATTTCTGAAGAATGAAGGTAGTTTTTAAAAAAAAAAAAGTAGTAGTATCATAGGAAAAACTGTCCTTTTTGACACTATGTCTTACTGCAGGCACGTTTATCCATGTTTGCCAAAAATGTTTTCCGATATCTATAATTTCTAAATTGTCATCTGAAGTCAAGTAAATACAAAATTGGGAGTTAAATTGCTAATCATTGCTTTTTTAAAACGATAAACACTGCCAAAGAGTGAAGGTAGTTAAAATAAAAGTGGCATCATGGTAAAAAAGGTTTTTTTGACACTGCATCTTATTGTGGGCACGTCCATCTTTGTCAATTTTTCTTTACTGTTATTTTTCTGATTCTTTTCCTTTCAGTTTTTGCCGACATTTTTTGATTTATTTTCATCTGATTTTTCACTTTTTATCCTCCTCAGATCTTTCTTTCTTCCAGTTTTTTTTAACAATTTTATTTATTTTCATTTTCTAAATGTTTAATTTTAATTTTGACCATTTTTCTAGACTAGATTTATAAATGTGCAAAATGGTATCTGATAACAAAATTTTTTTTTCTAGCACTTAAGATCCAATAAAAAATAACTTGCATGGCTGTGAGAAGATACGTTCTCATGCAGGGAACAATATGCAACCATGATGTGTTTAAGATTTTTGTTGTCAATTCTCAAGAACAAAGAAAAAATGTATAAATTGACTTCCATCATATGCTTCGATTTTATTCCAATTCTAATCGTTGCTTTTTAAAACAATAAACATTGGTGAAGAGTGAAGGTATTTAAACAAGCAGTGTTATGGGGAAAGAAAAATGTCCTTTTCACACTACATCTTATTGTGGGCACAGAAGACCATGTTGGCCAAATCATTATCATCATAGTTCTTCAAATCTAGGCTTGGTCACAACCACGGACTTCCAGCGTCTCCACTGCTCCAGACTGCATACTTTGTGGTGCTGTTCTTCTTGAATATTGAATTTTTGATGCCAGGTTTCTTTGAAGCTTGCAGAAATTTAGTAGACAATGCAATCAGTCAGTAACATATAGCTCCTTTGGTCTTATTGTGCACCAGCAAAGGTTAGTACAGTTTCTTTGGTCACCCTTGACGTCTTCTCTCTCATAACAAAGATGAAGACAATAGTCCAAATAATGTAAATAGTGTACATAATACCTGTTGTAGAGTAGTTTTCACAGTGGAGGCTTGTATTTCACTGAGTCGGTCCTAAAAAGGTTCGACGTACAAAACGTTAGGAACTTGAAATAATAGTTAATGACGCAGCAATCTAGTTGTGGTGGTTGATACTTTAATGTCCGACATCAACTGACTCACCAACTTACTGATCCCCCTGGCGACTGCTACTACTACTACTTATTATAAGTGGGAGAGTCTATTAATAATAGAATAGGTATGTTCTAGTATAACAATACCTCATCTCAGAAATATAGACAGATACCAATTTTCTCATTTTGATATTTATGCATTATATCCAGTATTAAAAATAGAGTAACTAGGGTCTGCAAATTGAAGGAGAGAGTTATCAATGATAATATTCTGATTTTGAATCCGTAGTTATCTCCCTTTAACTCTCACTCTGTTTTTTATTTTTAAATGTACTTTTTATCACTTAAAATTTGGTAAGGTGTGAGAAAATTTTAATTCCAAAAATGCATCCCAGAGAAAAAAGTTTGGGAACCACTGTGATACATTAATGCACCTATGTAAATTTCCCACCATTTCCTTGCAAATATTGACTGGTACATATTGCTTGATCCGTATCTCCAATCTTTGGCTGGTTCTGCCAACATAATCAGCATCACACATCTGAATTTATGAATTACAGAGCTAGTATGATGGTAGGGAAAACAACCTTCTGGATCAGTTTCAACATAGGCCAAGCACCAAAAACAATACTTGGATTGGTGAAAAAATAACAACTTATACCAACTGAAATTTTCTTGGCAAATCTCACACTCACTTTACCAATCCGTGGTAAACACATATTAACAGGACATTTCTAAGGAAACAATTGACCTAAGCTTACAAAACTGTTGCATTTTTTCTCTAATGCTAAACTCCACAATATCGAAAGGGTAAACATTCTTACTCAGAACTTTTCTAATAAATTCAATTCCTGAATCTTATATAATTTTCGAGCATAAGGTCCATGAACCAAGATTTTAATGAAATTGATTTTCAGCTGTACAGAACAAAAATTCTACCAGGTATATAAACCCATAAAGCAGGGGTTACCAACAGTTTTTTTTTTTTTTTTTAGCATCATCACCCACTTTCATATGGAAAGATTTTCACTGCTGATCTATATAGTAAATATTCCCCAGATATACAATGAAACTCCGGCTCACAGTCCTCAATTTGGGAAAATCCAAGACTCGTTCAAGGAATATGCCTTTTCTGGGACATAGATGAATCTGGCCCATTTGCATCTTCACCCACTTTCACATGGAAAAATTTTCACTACCTACCTATATAGTAAACATTCAAAAGCATACAGTGATGGGTAAAATGAAGCTATAAAGTTGCATACAAAATATTTAGACTTCGACATTAAATAACCCATGGAGGTTGATATGCCGCTAAACAAAAACAATCAACCAAAAATCCTCTTTGAGACATGTCGTTTAAGGGAATATATGTAGAGAAAACCTCCACATTTTGAGTTTCTTTATTTTTTAAAGTTTTCCCCACATCAGCAACAAGTTATAACTCCTCCAGTTCTCTACAAGATGACAAAACCCCTTGTAGGGATACAAAAGGCAATTATCTCTCTTTGGGGGAGATAAGTCACATTGTTCATATGATGGCCATGTAGGGACATCACTTTTTACAGTGATGAAGCATTAATCAAATTCAGTTTATTTTTCAACAGCTAAACCATAAGGTTAAACTCTTTAGGCTGTGTCTCCCATGGCCTGGGCAGAGGCTAAATCTTTCCCAGAAATAGAATGAAACTTCAGTTCACAGTCCTCAATTTGAAAAAATCCAAGACTCATTCATGAAATATGCCCTTTTCTGGGACATAGATGTATCCAGCCCATTTGTATCTGGAGTCCTAAACATGGCTTCTCCAGGCACAGGAACATCTCCATATTATATGTAAAACCTTTCCTTTTTGTTTTTCCTTACGCTTTGCTTTGCTGTATAGATATATGTGATATATTATTTTCCATGTGAGACATGTGTGTGTGTGTGTATATATATATATATATATATATATATATATATATATATATATAGTATTGTGTATGTCTTAATATTATAAAAGTCTTTCTGAGAACAGTGTTTTTGTCATTCTTTTTTCCTTTCAGTCATTCTGTTCCATCTGTGGATAATGCTCATAACAGGGGAAATATAAAAGGGAGAATAAACCTTTCTTCCTATCTCTCTCCCATTGCATTGGCGACTATGACACAATATTATTTACTGACTGACATGTGTAATTATCATACATTAACTGTTTAACATTTCACAATATGAATATGCAATTAAATATGAAATGTTCTTTTCTTTCTCAGCAATGTCAATAATAGGATAAAATGGTGGATGAAAAAAAGGAGACTAAATCTTCCATATCTCTCTCCTTTTACACCCCCAATCTTTCAGCACCCCCTCGTATGGATCAACATTGCATTTTATAAAAGGTATAAGGATTCTGCAGTTGATTTAGTTTTCATAGATCATTAAATATTTGGGACATTTGAAATGTAAATGATTAAATATATAGATAAGACATTCAAAATACTTACAAAGACTGCCTTCATATGAAAAGGCAATGAGGGAAGAATGTTTCTCTGTGGTAATTTTTTCTGGCTTTCCCAGAATATGAAACTCTGACGTATTATATGGCTGACATCTCTTTTTCACTAAATCGCGAAAACACTGAAATGAAAATTGACAGACAGAAATATAATTGTTTAAATATGCATTTATTTAAACTATTAATAACAGACATGTTAAAAAAGAAGAAAAAAAATTAACAAAAAAGAGGGGTTACAAAAAACAAAATAAAGTGGTAATACTGAAGATTATTATTATCTGGTTGAGCTAGCTCAGACATTCATGAGTCTAACACACCAACCATCACGGTTCTGCATCAAGGTCGGAAGATCATTGGGGTGGCATTCTGTGTCATAACATAGCTGCTCAATATAGATGGTTGCTGGGTGACCATCCCATATTATTTTTTGCCCTCTCCAATCAAGGACAAGAAATTTGCACTGAGTTGGAATTTAATTTGATTTGATGGATTTGTTTTTTACGGTTTATCAACCCTTTGCTAGTTATTTAAAGCCAAAAAATACTTTTTTATACTGTAATATTTTTGTTGTAAATAATAATGATTTACTAATTTACCTACTATTTAACCCATGGCTTGGGGGAAAGAGGAGGTGGATTCATACCTTTCCCAAGGTTATTTGTGCATAAGTGAATATAATAAACCCAACGGGAATTGGAACTTGGCTCACTGCAAATCCAAGCTTACAGCACCTGGTATTCCCAAGTGATCACCCATCTAGGTACAGACCAGGTTCAACATTGCTTAACTTTGGTGATCATACAGGAACCAGTGTTTCAGCATGATGTGACCGTAAGCCTGGAATTTAGAATAATCAATCAGATATGATTAATCAAGCACAGAATAAAATGACAATGCTAAGAGGCTAGAGAATGGACCAATCATTGTCCTTGTAAGGGTCATGTGACTCTGGCTATATAAACACTAAATTCAAAACCCCATATTTTTTCTTCCATTTTGTTAACTAGGGAGTACAAATTGAGAATTCTTCCCTCACCATATGGCCGGTCAGTGGCATCAGGGGATGGAGGAATGGAGCTGACAACCTTGAGAGGAAGTACTACTATCTAAAGAAGCTAGCCAAAGACTGAAAAGAGCCTCTCCAACAAGAACTGTTAACTGCCTGTTTCACACTTCTCCACAGTCTTTTGAATAGAAAGAGAGGTTCATCCCTTGTTTCCTCTTTAATATTGGATTTTTGGTTCCTTCTAAAGTCTACTTCAACTCTGTACTTCTAACATCTTTACTAGAAGACTGAAATTTTATTTACTATTTTTTTCTTTTCAATAGGAGTAGATAGTTTTGCTTATCACCCAGTTCACACTTTTCTGAACTGGAGCAGGGATTTATCCCTTGTTTCCTGTTTAGGATTGGGTTTTTGGTTCCTTCAGAAAACTTTCATTCCCTTTCACCCCCAGTAGCCTATTGCATCTTAGTGGCATTATTGCCTTATGGTTGCTGAAGACATTAGGTTTATAATACCCAGAAATTCATACACAAATGTCCTCAAGGACACATGGCACAGTGAATAAAGGCATTAGTTAGATCCAATGACAGGACCCAAAGAGTTTCAATACCTGGTTAAGACACTGGAGAACTTGGGAGGGGGAATTAACAGGAGATAACTGATAACTGACATCCATTAGACATGGCACATGGAACTAGAACAGTCTACACCAGTGAGCGAAATAAAGGGTTCAGTTCGATATTCCAACCACCTGAAGAAGGCTAGAGCGTACAACGACCGAAACATTGTAATAAATATAGCGACAAAGATGAGGACAATAATCCGAATAATGTAAATAGTGTACATAATACCTCATCTCAGAAATATAGACAGATACTAGAATGTTAGTGTTCCAGCCATGAAACCCGGGTTTGAATCTTGCCATGTTCAATTTGTCCAGGAGGTGATTACTCCACATTGCATTCCAATTCGCAATCTCATCGGTGTGCAACAAAAGCTGGGAAAGGGTGCAATGCATGCTCAAAAATGAAAGACAAATGCCATGTCAAGAAAGAAGAATGTGAAACTTATTTCCTATAATATATGTATGTGTTTTATTCAAGTGCAATGGACACATCTGCCTCCTGCCAAGGGTGGACCAGAACTCTTCACAATCCCAACCATGAATTTTAATATAAACTAGCTTTTCCAAGGGTATTTGCATGTAAGTGCATATGACAAACCTGACTGGAATTGGAACTTGGCTCTCTGATTTACAATTATGAACCATTATCCATTACACCACCCATACATCCAAGCTTATAGCAACTGGTATTTCTAAGCAGTTACTCTTCTAAGCGCTCACGAAGCGCTCGCTTTGCTTAATTTCGATGATCATGCAAGAACTGGTGTTTCAATGTGATATGGCCATAATCCAATTTAATGATGGTTGGCCATTTAATCTAAAAATAATTGAACTATTTCATCTTTTGTCTTGCTTTCATGCCTAATAGTAAATGCTTCATCTTAGAAAAATAGTCATAGGTAAGGAGATTAGACCAATGCGACCAGCATAAAAATATAATTCAGGAAATGCATAGGATTATGGGAAGAATGGACAAGGAAAGGCAGTGACCCAACTACCTGAAGAGTTTGTATCAATGGATAGCAGAATAGGAAAGGTTAGAGGCTTGGCTTAGAAACAAATGTTGCTAAGGGATAGAAGGTTGTGGGCAGCCATGATTGTTCACATCCTTAACAGACAAGGCACATACTGCAAATTGCAGCATGCAAGTCAAGTTTTCAAGCCTAAAAAATTATTTCCAAAACTAGTGGTCAACTTATATAGTGGGTATAAAATGCAAACCTTTTCCACCGAGTTGTAAACAAGTTGGACAGCACTCCTAACAATTACCATACCCCCAGCATACTGCCACAAATATATCGCACTAAAACTTGTGTTCAGGGAACATATTTGGCATATTAACACAAAAATTTATACAAAATAATAAAATAGTAATATAAATTCAGTATTCTATTAATGCTACAGCAGACATTTGTTTGTTTATACCTCTGATGCTAATGACGGATGAATGATACTGTTTTTTACAATAACATGATACGTAGCAGTACTATCAAACAACTACTTAGTATGATGTGTAATATATGATATTAATATTTTATAGCAGTTGATGTTGACTTTAATGTATTAATCAATTTACCCCAAGCAAGGTGGTAATGCTACTAAGAGGCTAAGGGCTATTGGAAGTGAAAGAAAATGAAAAGAAATTAGAAGGAAACGAAAACCCAATCCTAAACCAGAAACAAGGGATAAACCTCTACTCCTGTTCAAAAAGAATGGGGAGGAGCATGAACTGGATGATAGGTGAACTTATCTACTCTTACCGAAGGTGGGGGGGGAATAATTAAAGAATACTGTAAATCGCAACATACAAGTCAAGTTTTCAAGCCTAAAAAAATGATTTCAAAAACTAGTGGTCAATTTATATGGCAGATATAAAATGCAAACCTTTTCCACCAAGTCATAAACAAGTTGGACTGCACTTCTAAGAATTACTGTGCACCACTTACCATACACCCAGCAGTCTGCCACAAATATATTCCACTAAAACTTGTGTTCAGGAAACATATTTGGCACATTAACACAGAAATTTATACAAAATAATAAAATAGTAACATAAATTAAGTATTCTATTAGCATTACAGCAGACATCACATCCAATAGCTGATAGATTAAGTGGTGGCATTATAAGTTGTTTGTTTACACCAAAATTTCTCAACATGAGCCATATGGACCCCTTGGGGACCATAAGATATTTTCAGGTGCCACAAGGCTAAGTTTGAAAAATGGAGGCAACAAGGGGTCACAGAAAAGTTAGGATCCACGAAATATGTATATGGAATATTTTGTAATTAATAATTATTATTCAAAATAAAATATTAAATTTATTATTAAGTTAAATATTAAATTCATCTAAGCCATTTTGTTAACATAAATATTTATTTATTGTAATTTTTTCATCTGATCTATGCAAAATGTTCATTTTTAGTTTTCAATTTCTTAAAATTTAAAATTCATAATTAAAAGTTTAAACTAAATTAGTTTATGCTTTCACCAATTTATCTTACAATTTTGAAAATCTAAATGTCCTGCAAAAAAGAGCTGCAAGGAAATGACTCCAACCTGTTTTCCTGCAAGGAGGCAATTAACGCATTTAATGGAAAACTAAAGCTGTTGTGGTTGAACCTTGGGAGACAAGTTTGCAGTGTTTCTTTCCTTAGCAAATATATCCACCAAGCTGCTTGATCATGACCGGGCAGTGTATGTTGTTCATTTGAAGCAGTTGCAGAATGATATGAAAACTTGCTTCTCTGATCTACTCCAAATGACAGTGCTGCACTGGTTTGTGAATCCATTCATTGTTGATGCATTTGAAGTTGATATCACCCTACAAGAAAGTTTCATTGAACTTCAAAATAACACAGCAGCTCAAGCGAGGTTTAAGCATGCAGGATACCAAAAGCTGTGGATGAATGAAGACATGCATAAGAATTACTCCCTACTCTGGAAAGATGTGAAGTTGCTTTTACTCATTTTTCCCACTTCTTATTTGGTCAAATCTGGTTTCAGTCAGATGATGCATCTGCTGTCAAAGACTCAAAACTGCCTTGATGTAGGAAAAAAAAGCAATTTACATCTCTCTCTCTGATGGCTTTCAAGCCAAACCTTGACAATTTAGCAGCCCTGCACCAGTCACAGGGACCCCCCCCCCATTGAAACCTATACAAAATAGTGTGATGGTACATTTTATTTTTTATTTTGTAAATGAGTTTATTCAAATAAAATATTTATTCAAATAATAATATTTTTTGCTTTCTAACTGGAGTTTGTGTTTTGATGCCATAGTACTATCCAAACTACAACCTTTAATATTCTTACTTCTTTAGATGGATTAAGTTGAGGCACAGGGAGGGAGCGAGGAGTGGGGGTTAGAACTCAGATTGGCACAAGAGGCCATAAAGAACTCACATTGGATTGAAGGGGACCACAACCAGAATAAGATGGAGAAACATTAGTTTACACCATTGATGGTGGATGAGTGATAATGTGTTTTACAATACGTAGCAGTACTATCAAAAAATTACTTGATATGATGTGTAATCTACAGTATTAATATTTTATAAGAGTTGATGTTGACTTTAACATGTTTATTAGTAGATCTGGCAATTTTTAAATGTTCACTATGTTATACTAATACAATATATGGTACCTAGATTGTTTGCTATATACAATGCATATAGACAAATACTACATTTAGTATCTCAAACTGGTGTGACCTTATGTAGTTTTGGCACAGGTTATTGTATATTGTAGCCTACCTTCATTTACTGGTAGGACTAAGTTTTGGGTCCCTGGTAGCCTGCCATATGTCTGGGGGTTGACCTATATATTACGTATAGGTCTAACTCAGAACTTTGAGCTAAAAATCTTGAGGTCGACTTGTACACCATGTCGACTTGTAAGCCACAATTTACAGTAAATCCCATTTCTATTTGCATATTCTGTTTTCTTCAGTTTTCTGAGTGTTTCACTAATGTGTTTAGGGGGGGGAATTCTTTAACTTTTGTTGGGTAAATTTATTAATATGTTCATATTTACATTGATTAAAGTTTTTGAAATGTTGATGTTTTTGTATTGTTTGATAATTTTCATATTGTACTGAACCAAATTTCTTTTTGAGTTCATTATGGAGTTTGTAAATAATATTATGTGCCTAGTTTTTCTGTTGCTTTTTTCCAGTTGGATTCATTGCATTCACTTACACACAAATACCCTTGGCAAAGGTATCAATACATTTCTTCTCTTGACATAGTTTTATTTTATATTACTGCTATCTGGTATTAATGGTATTAATATTTTATCTGGTATTAATGGTATTAATATTTTATCTGGTATTATCTACGGTATTAATATTTTATCTGGTATTATCTACGGTATTAATTTTTTATCTGGTATTATCTACGGTATTAATATTTTATAATAGTTGATGTCAACTTTAATGTATTTATCAGCAGAGATGACAAATTTTAAATGTTTGCTAATTTATACCAATATAATATATGGTACCTACCAGTATGTGTTGTAGGTTGTTTGCTATACAACACATATAGAAAGATATCAGTGTCTCAATATACAGGTAAATGGTGTGACCTTATGTAGTTCTGGCACAGGTTATTGTATACCTACCTTCATTTACTGGTAGGACTAAGTTTTGGGCCCCTGGTAGCCTACTATATGTCTGGGGGGGGGTGACCTATATAGTAGGTATAGGTCTTGTAATGAGTTGGTCGGTCAACTTGAAACCCCCAAAGCGAGTGGAGGTGGGCAGGCGCGGGAACTGTGATTGGTTGCTGGCTTGTTGGTGTTTTGCATAGGTGAGTTACCAAGCTCTATGTAAAGGGCTGGAATGAGAAGGAGGTCAGTTTTTCAGTCTCAGAAGTGGAGACTGTGTCCGTCACTATGACAGCAGGAGAGAAAGAGACAGAATCATTTTTTTTCGTGACACATTCCAACACAGGTTTAACTCAGAACTTTGAGCTAAAAATCTTAAAGTCAACTTGTACACTGCAATTTAGGGTAGATTATTTATTTTGACTTTTCTTTCAAGACAACTTTTGTATTTTATTGCAGTTACTCATATTGTTAGTCAGTAAATTATGGACATTAAAGAACTGTTCAGAAATTGTCAGTTCCTGTTGTCATGATTTTAAATAATAAACATTGTTTATTTTAAATAATAAACATTAGATAATAAACATTGTTGGTTTGAGCTGTTGTAATTTTAAATAAAAAAAAATAAGGATAAGATGATGGAAAACCAATTGAAAATGATTTACTGTATAGCAAATCATCATAGTCATAAAAAATGATTCTTTTTGCACTCCTTTTCGGTAGTCTCCTCACCCCACCAAATGGAACCGACTCCCAGGAGGATGCTTCCCCAATCACTATAATCTTAACCTGTTCAAGTATAGGTTTAACTGTTATCTTCCCTACATATGCACATTATCTGTGCCTCTTACTCTGTAGCCATATCTATCAAGTGACTCTCGAGCCTTGTACAAGTGGCACACCATTTTAAAAAAAAAATGGTCGCTTCCCTCCCCACAGAGACATTCAAGGCATCTCAATATCATTCACACTCTCATCAATGTAATGTGGCTTTCCTCTGTATTTTTTGCAAATGGCAACTGCTCTGATGAGCTTTTTTTCCTGGTTTACCGACTACATGAATTTAAACATGTTACTAGTAACTAGGTTTCACCATTTTAATTGTTGAAATAACTAGATGCAACTGCCATTTCTACTCTAACAGTTTTTTTCTTGCACTTCTCACCTGTGGAAATCCCTCCCAATTTCTTGCTACCCTGATAACAAGCTTCTTCAAAAATCTAAATGCAACATCAATCACCATCTTCTGTCTTCTTGAACACTATTCCTTTTATGTCTTTTCTTCAATCCTCCCCATTCTCAGTCTTCTCATTCTTTTTCATGTTCATTCTCTGTGTCTTAGTGGCATTATCCTCTTGCTTGGGGTGAAATGGTTAAAAAAGAAATAGAATAATACTTACTGAACCATTTATAACATTTTCTGGTTGTTCTTTGACTCTGGAAAAACAAATTCTATATTTTAATAGATTTTCTTGAAATAAGCATGAAACTGGCATTTTTCCTTTTAATAAAATATGCCAATTTTAGAATAGAGCATCATATTTTGAGATGTGTAATTATTAAAAAAAAAAAAAAAAAAAAACAAAAAAGGCCATGAGATTATCCCTAAATAATTGTGGTATAAAATGCCAGACAATTCCTGCCATTTTACTGTTGAAATAGATAAATGCCACTGCCACTTCAACTCCAACAGTTTCTTTTCTCCCACTTCCCACCTATGGAACTCTCTTTTGCTTCCTTGCTTCTCTGATGGAGGCCATGAACATAGATGTGTTATTTAATGTCTTCTACAATGCAAAGATTCAAATCCTCCATTTTGTAAAATGTCTGCTTTATTTGTTATCTTTTTATTAATTTTTAAAAGAATTTCATAATGTGTTATTTAATAATATTTTCATTTATGAAAAGATTCAAATCCTTCATTTTGTAAAATAGCTTTATTTGTTATCTTTATTAATTCATAAGAAGCGAATGCCATTTTAAAAGAATTTCATAATGTTAAAGATTCAAATCCTCCATTTTGTAAAATGTCTGCTTTACTTGTTATCTTTGTTAATTCCTGAGAAGGGAAGGCCATTTAGAAATGTAATTTCATAGATATGTTATTAAATGTTTTCTACAATGCAAAGATTCAAAATAGTTTTAGTAAATCTAATGCTGTAGTTACTTCAAATGGTTATATGAGAATGGTAAAATGTATTATTAAATGCAGTTAAAGAATTCCTTATAATCTACTTACATAACAACTTCTGGTGCACTGAATGCCATACCCATGAGACCAAAACTGAAAGAAAAAAAAAAAAAAAAATAACAAGTTTCATATTAGACTGGATTGTAGAAAAGTTTATTGTCATTTTTGAAAGAAGATAGAAGAATGATGATTGAAAATCAGATGGCATAGATAATTGAAGTGACTGAATGACACAAGATATGTACTTCATGGCTGATGTGCCTGTGATGAATATAATGTCAATGGAAGAACGGCCATCAAGATATGTACTTCATGAGTGATGTGTCTGCGATGAAGATAATATCGGTGGAAGAATGGTCATCAAGATGTAGTATACGGATGTCTGCGATGAAGATAATATCGGTGGAAGAATGGCCATCAAGATGTAGTATATGGATTCATCTTTTGGAAGGTAAATTCTATCATAAGCAAAATAGCAGAAAAAATTTAGTAATTAGTTTTATTCATTTCATATATTTTCTGTCTGAATTTTTTGAATGAGGATTTATCATGATTTACACTATTTACATTTGGACTATTGTCCTCATCTTTGTTGTGGCTATCAAAACATTTTGGCTGTTGTACCCTCCAGCCATCAACTGGTGTATGACGATCCGAGTAACCTAAAGGGAACTCTGAACTGAATCCTTCATTTAATCTATGAGAGTAGACTGTTTTCTTTATATTGCTCATGTCTAGGAATATCTCATCCAGTTGTTCATTTTAATACTGATTATAACATGACATTGGTCTTGGTTGATTCATACTAGTGCATGGAAAGTGGTTAGTGATTTGTTGTATTGAGAGACCTAATAATTCTAAATGAAAGACTAGAAATGTTAAGAGAAAAATATGGGAGTCTGAATTTCTAACATGAGGAGTTATCATTATTTACTGTAGAGTTACATACTGACTAGGTGGCATGGGGAAGCAATGGATAGCAGCTTGGATTAAGGAATCGAAGAGCCGAGTTTGAATTCCAGTCAGATCCATTACATTCACTTATGTACTAATACCCTTGGGAAAGGTATGAATCCTCTTCTTCTCCCCCCATCTATGGCTAAATAGCAGAACAGACTAGATTCTATAGCCTTGGGTGGCAACTGGTCTAAGAGAAGGAAAACTCTGAATTCAAAACCAACCTGGGAGCAAACTTAATGGACAGATAGGGGCTCTGGTGCCTTGCAAGGCAACCTATCTAGGAGAATGTGACTCCGAAATATAACCTACATCCTTGCATGTCACTTATCTCGTGGTAGCCATTGCACCAGAAAGCAGATGGTCACCATTGGACAAGATTTTGGGACTGGGAATGCACAAACCTTTCTCACTTAAATAAATTTCAGGTGCAAGTCATTCTACGACACTAGATGAATTCTTCTACTCTCATGAAAAAGGACTCATCAGTAATGTGTCGATGGAATACTCATGTGTTGGCTTATGACATGAGAATCCATGTATATATACTGACTATTGTCCTCATCTTTTTTGTTGTTATCACAATGTTTTGGCCATTTTGCTTGTAATATAATAACCACCAAATATAAACTAATGAATCTTTATTAGACTAATTCAGCTTCAGCGCTGAAAAGCATTATGTTTATTGTAATGTATGGTTACAACTGAGAGGGAAGATGGGAGGTGGGGTCTGCTTATTTTATTACCACATTCTTCCCCAGTATTTATTTTATTTATATGGAAGAAAATCCTTTAAATTATCTTTGCGGTCTTTTAGCAGTAATCAGGTCTTTATTGTGATAAAGTCTCAGAACTGTCTGGTCTGAGATACTGACCATTTGTCTGATCTAGAGTTGTACCATGAGGATCCTGGACTTAAAGGCTCTAGGAAGTTCTCATGAAGGGATCAGGGATCACTGTCAGTCAAATCATTACTTGATGTATTGGGAGTGGGTACCACAGGTACTTTTTCTAGTGCAGTTTGTCCAGAATTTCTCGGTCTTCTTCATATGTGGCTGCATCTGAGAAATACTCATAAACACTTTCTGATACATATTTTGGTAAGTGATGTAACTTGTCGGGTGTTCCATTGCAACATTCCTTCAAGAACTTTTCAAAGGTTTTTCGCCAATGATGGTACTCTCTTTCAACATCCAGAGAATTTGGATCTGTAATTAATTTGTCTGGGCAGAGTATATGTTCCATCATTGCAAAAGTGACTTAGTCTAATTAATTGTCTAATAACAACACCTGGTAGAAACTTATGAAGCTTTACTAGACTAAGTCAGATGTTTATTTTGTTGCAATGGATGGTAACAACCAAGAGGGGAGATGGGGTCTGCTTATTTTATTGCCACAGTGTCCTCTGACATTCATCAGGTATCTATCAATCCAGGTAAGTTACAGGGAATTCCAAACTGAATCCCTTATTTAATCTACAAGGGATAGACTGTTCTCGTTCCACTGCCCATGTCTAGGGATATCTCATCTAATTCTTATTTTTAGCACTGTTCAGTTATTGCTTCTCCATTTCCATTGAATTCTCCAAGTACACACTGCCTGAACTGGGGATTGAACTCACAATCAATAGAGGTTGGTATGCCACTAAACAAAAACAACCAATCAACCAACTGAAATCACAATTATTATGTTACCAAATTCTTGATCCAATTATTTCATCCACTAGGCTATTGTTTACTTATAAAACAGTAAACCCTAAAAATGCCCATACATAGGTTGGTTGATTGATTAATTCATTTTTTACAGTTTATCAACCCTTTGCAGGTTATTTAAAACCAGAAAATATATTTAGATTGTAAGATTTTTTTTCATTGGAGATAATAATGTTTTAGTGATACAAGTCTTACTAATTAACCCATAGCTGAGGGGAGAAGAGGTGGATTCATGCCTTTCCCAAGGGTATTTGCATGTAAGTGAATACAATGAACCCAACAGGAATTCTAACACTGCATTCTGATTAACAATTCTGAAATATTACCAAAATACTTCCAGTACATCCACACTTATAACACCTGGTATTCCCAAGTGGCCACCCATCTAGGTACTGAACAGGCTCAACATTGCTTAACTTCATGATCATATGGGGACAGGTGTTTTAATGTGATGTGGTCATAAATTGTGTGTGCATCAGAAATGGAAAGCTTCTCACATGAAACATCATTTAACAACAGAAAACATGTAAATGGTAACTTGGAAGAACACACCAAAAATAACTGTTGTATTGTGTTGTATTTTTTTACAACATGTGATCAGTAGTCAATTTCTACTTATACAGTTAGAGACAAATTATTTATTTGTAATTGTTCCAATATTTATGAAATGTATCAGCCACACATTCAATCAACTGTAATTGAATCGATTCATCCTCAATAAAACAAATCTTGAATTCCAAATTTCTGAAATTCACTGAATCTTCTTTTAATTTGTGAAGATATTGCATAATTGATTCATCTTGTTTCTGTTTAATGAACAGAAATTTCGTTCTTTCCACCATGACAAGTTTCTTTTTAGGTCATAAACTTCTTTTTATAATTTCTGAAATACCGATAAAAATCAAATTCTCCAATTGTTTGGGGTATATCATAACCAAAATAAACTTCTTTTTATAATTTCTGAAATACCGATAAAAATCAAATTCTCCAATTGTTTGGGGTATATCATAACCAAAATAAACTTCTTTTTATAATTTCTGAAATACCGATCAAAAATCAAATTCTCCAATTGTTTGGGGTATATCATAACCAAAATAAACTTCTTTTTATAATTTCTGAAATACCGATAAAAATCAAATTCTCCAATTGTTTGGGGTATATCATAACCAAAATAAACTTCTTTTTATAATTTCTGAAATACCGATAAAAATCAAATTCTCCAATTGTTTGGGGTATATCATAACCAAAATTTTCACTATAGCTTCACAATCTGCTGAAGCTAGAAAGAAGTCAGTTATTTCATTTTCTCCTCCTCTTGGCTGGTTGTCTTTCAATTTTTTAGCCCTAACCTGAGCTGCAAAACACTGGATCCAAGTCTTGACAAATTCTGGTTCATCCACATGACTCAAACATCCTATCAGCGATGCTTTAATAACAGTGAAATTTAAAAAAAACAGTGCTAATTTACAACCCCACTTCAAAATATGTTTGCCTGTCACAGAAAATTGTCAAACCGAGTGAATAAAGACTTGAAATGAAGTGATTTTTTTGTTCATTTTTTTTTCAGAACTTAGAAATGAAGAAAAAAAATATATATATATATATACAAAATAAAATAATATCATCTACAGTTTATGATGACAAATAAAGCCAGCCAATTTACATACACACTTATAAACAAATTACCATTAATACATTTTATAGTAAAATTGAAAACATGGCATATATTGATTTCTTTTTTGTTTTTGACAATTTTTTCAGCAAAATTAAACTATGTGAGCAAACTAAAAGAGAAAAATCTTCCTAAGCTACCTTATTAGGGGTGGGTTGCCAAAGTTTAACCCATAGAAACAATATCCTAGATGCCTAACTAGCATCCAAATGCCAATCTTTTAGGACCCAGTCAATCAGTAAGTTCTGGGTATGACAATAAGATACAATCGAGGAACTGGAGGTTTTGAGGAGCAAGGAACCACATCTTAATTCCTGTTGTTCCCAGGTTCACCCTGACTTGGGGTGGTAACACCTGTTAGGGTCCAAGGGATGGGCAAATAAAAAAAAAATAATTAAGCACTATAAAAGTATAAAAATAGATTTTTATAGTAAAAATACCAGTAATACATTTTTATATAAAAAATTACAAACACCACATTTTTATAGCTAAATGACCATCAGTAGATTTTATAGTAAAATTGAATACATTGTTAAAAAAAGAAAAGAATTTCTTAGAATTAATCTAATGTAACAAAAAACAAGTTTTTACTCCTTGTTTTGAGTTTGTAAGATTATTTGGAAAAAAAAAATGTAGCTCAGTAATTGTATAAGGTAACCAAAAAAGTCATTACTGTTTTTTACGTTTTGTGGGAAGAAGTGATCAATAATATATAAATGAATGGGTTACATGCCAGGAAAGTTGTGGGGGTGTGGCATTGCTCTTGAACAATGCAGTATATGAACTCATTTACATATTGTTAAAGGGTTGCTATATTTTTTCATACAAGTGGACTCGACCAGTGTGTACTTGGACTGCTGCCGTTAAATACCCAGAGTCAGTCAGAGTAGAGATAGAGATAGTGATTGTGATTGAGTTGGAGGTAGAGTAATAGTGTGAGGTAAACCACTTATACAAGTCACAGTTCTATTGGGCATGTAGACTCTTTAAGGAAGTCCTACTTCGAGACTGGATTTACCAGACTGTATATATATATATATATATATATATATGGATATATATATATAATTATATATATTGTGTTAAATTTATTTTTATGTTTAACGTTGTTATTTTATCATTCAAGTATTTAATCAAACGTTAATAATAAATGTATTTAAAAAATCAACAAAAGAATTTTGTCCATTTCTTAATATATATATATATATATATATCATATATATTATTGCTACTAACCACATTTCTGGATCTACTAACCGTATTACCAATTGTATTATTGTGTGTAAATACATTTGTTATATTTCAACGTTTGTCATTCATTGGAGTGAATTTCATCTCAGAATCCACAAGAACAAATCAGTGATCATTTCTTCCCACAATGTAAATTAAAAAAAGTTATGAGGACTTTATTATTTATCTTATATAATTAATTTATGTGAATTTTAAAAATATTTTGCAGGTTGATAAAATACCAAAAATGACAGACTTACAACTCAAAGAAAGAATGGCATAAAAGCAAAAAGCAAATTATTACAAAACACAAAGTTGGCAACCAAGAAAGACAAAAACTTTATGAGGAACTAATTTTGAAAATTGCTTTCTTGTAAAAAAAATATTGAAAAATGTTTCAACATTGCTTACCAAAATAAAAAAACGAATAGTGGTTCAAAATGATACTACCAAGAACAGAGATTTTTGGTTGTCACAGAAGGGACTATGTGCTTAACATACAAGACCCCTCAAAACCCATGCAAGATCATGTTCTGAAAATTGTTTTTTGAAGTCAACAAAGTTTGTGCACTATTATATTGCCAAAAGAGCAAATGAATTAACTGCAGACCTGTAAGCAGTGACAAGCAATGAAGGAGCCAGAATTGGTTAATCCCAAGGGTATACTTTTCCTCCATAACAATGCCATGTGCCATAACCAGGTGGCCAAGGATAACGATATGTCAACTTAGCTAAGAGACACTGTGCCATCCATAAATAAACAATATGACCAACAGATCACCAACTCTGAAATAATTTAAAAGATAACAACCTTGTTGGGAAAGGTTTTGCAGATGAGGAATTAAACTTGCAGAAGAATGCAATCAAAAATTTTTTGTATCCAAGATCTAACATTTTAAGCAAATCAGAAGATTGTGCAGATGTCTGATGTGATAAAAAAAAGTTCTGGATGTTTTGGAGATTCTTTGAGGATTAATTATATGTCAATTTTGCTGTATACCTTTTTTCCTAATAAAAAAAAAAAATAGCAATGAAGATTTTTGGTTACCTTGTAATTAATAGAAATTAATAATAAGAGGAAAATGAATCCAATTGAAGACCTCTATATGTGTGAAGGTCTTGAAGGTTACCTTTCTGTTTCCATGATGCATTAATGTTTGATAGACCCCAAAACAAATGTATTGCATTTCCAATTCTTTCTCTTGGTGTTTTTTTAAAAAGAAGAAGGAAATTGGATTCAGGGGGAAACTCAGCTTAAAATGTTGAAGTGATGCTTTATTATTCCTTAAAGAAAATAGTTTTAAAAAAATCATCACTAGGTTCATTATTGTTTTTATGAAAGATATTTTCTAATGGTTGGATGAATACTGGTATATGTTCTATTTATTGTAGGAAAGGTTGAAATACAAGTCAAAATGTTTTTTGAGACCAGGACATTTCTTCTGTGGTGGTTATGATTGTATGATACTATTGTGCTTTTCTGCTTTTCTCCACATCTTAACACATTTTCTGTGTTGTTTGGCTTCATTAATTTCAATTTTCCAGAGATACACGTTTCTCAAAGAATTAACTACTTTTTGTTTTATGGGTTTAATATTGTTAATATTTTCTTTTCCATTTTTTCCTCTTTTTTTCCTGTATTAATTTTTTCAACTCAAGACTGCTGTCCCAGGGGTGTATATTTTCCCTTCTAAGTCTTTTTGGGATCATTTCACATGCTTCAGATAACAACAATATGATTGGTTCCTCTATGTTTTGAGCTAGATATACTTTCATCAATTTGGACTCTAGTTTATTACTAAATTCTGAATGTAGCCTTTCATTTTTAAGGGCTTGAATGTTATACTGCATTGTTTTCCTTGGTTTATGTGGGCAGAAGGGAGCTATTTTGTTGGCTGATGTTGTCATGCTGAGAATAGCATAATGACAGATATTTTAATGTTTAAAACTTTTTGGGAAAATGGAATTTAAAAAAAAGACACTTATATTTCTTATCTCTTTCTTATTCAGTTAAAATTTCTCAGGTACATAACGAGGAAAGAAGGCTTTGGGAATATGACACTCACAGGACATATTTAAGAATTAATTTTTCTGATGAAAGCAAGATAAAATACATTTAAATGTATGATTGTAAAACGTTAACACAGGAATTAGGAAAAAACAAAATGACAAAAGCACCATTTTTATCTTCAGAAAGCCATAATCTCCAATATTCAAGGGTTATTTTTTTTTTATAAATTATTTCACCTCACCAATTTAAATGAATTAAATCTCCAATGAGATGCAAATGGTGTAAGCTTCCAAAAATCTTTAGAACAAGACATTCAAAACATTAAGGACTGGGAAAACATTAAAAGAACAAGAATTAAAAAAAAAAAAAAATTAAACTATTATCATCCCCACCAAGGAAAAAAAATTTTTAAATTTTGGCATTAAATAACCTATATTTTTGATAATAAAAAAAAACAACGAACCATCCATCCTATAGCTTTGAATCTAGTACAATGGTTTATAAATTCAAAAAAATTATGTTTTTTTTTTTTAAAAAAGAATAATTACCATGAAAAATTTTTATATAGAAAAGGAAAAGAAAAATATTTATATTAAAAGGAAATTATGACTGAAGTCGAGATGCCAGGTCAAGACCAATAAATGACACATAGAAGAAGTTGAACAGAGGGCATTGAAAATTAATTTTTCCTCCTACAAAAATATAAAAAAAAAAAGTTATTTTAAAAATTTAGTGTTGTTTTTTCTTCCACATTGATGGATACAATAAGACAACTCTCTTGTAAAGAGGTGTATCTTTATTACCTGAAGACCTTTTTCGGACATAACATCAGAACGTAACACTTACCTGATCAACACTGTCCCCCCCAACCATCAACGGTCGTCTTCTGCCACTTTTAAGTTTTAAGCGGTCACTATACATGCCAATCAATGGGCTAAGGACAAACATCATAACTGAAAAATAAGAAAATTCACAAAGATAGTCATTAAAAACAATGTGTGTTCATGTATTGCAGATTGTGGATTGTTTAATGCAAAATCTGTTAGAAATAGACAATCTATATATATATATAAAATAGAGGATGTCTGTGTGTCTGTCTGTCTGTGTGATACCTTTTCACTCGAGATCCATCCAACCAATTTTGATCAAATTTGGCACATACATTGTACAATGTAAGAGATAGGTTCTTAGCATAAAAAATCGATAATTTTAAAAGAATCAATAATCAATAAAACCGATAAATTCAACTTTTTTTCTCTAAATTCATTCAAACTCGGTATGTAGGTTACTTACATCATAATGAGCTTAACCATACCTCATTTTTATTTCTATGCCACTGTGTTTAGTGAAAAACCACAAAAAACAAAAAGTCAATTTCAATACAAATTGATTTCAACACAAATTTTAAACTAAAAATTCCCTCAGTTTTCAAGCAATCTAATACAAATTTCACTCAATTGTAACCAACATTAACTTGATTGTTTAACAGTCATTTAATTTGAGAAATTGAGAAAAAAAACCATGTCCAAAACCCATGTAAATAGTGAAAAATCTTTCAACAATTTTTTTATAAATGTATCTTTTCTTTTGCATCCCTTTAAAAAACAAGATTTAAAAGTGAATTTCAAAAACTCCAAAATAATTCCCTGGTCTGAAGTAGGTCTTCATGTTGACTGTTTTACCCCTCCATCTCCTCAGCTAACTTTGATTGAATAAATACAGACTACTTCTGCATGAATTCAAAATGTTTTTAATGAAGGTATTTTAAAGTAATTGAAGAAGATAGACTCTGTTACATCTAAATATGATGCTGTTTTTGCTCTATTCTAATTGAACACTTTTTCTGATTAACCAGCTGGGTATGGCTGCTGGTATATAAGGCAGTTATCAACATCTTTCTTGAGTTCATTATACTTATATTATAATGATAAATATGCAAAAAAAGACACACTATGAAAATGCCTTCATTCTGCCAGTTTTATAGTAATTAGCTGTTGAGGAATGAACAAGACCCTTTGACCTTTTTACTCCAGGACTATTGAGTATACCATTAAAATCTTTTTTTTTTAATCATACCATTTAGAAAATTTGGATAGGGTTATATTTTGAAATGCATCCAAAAATGAAACTTCTTTTAATTTCATTTCCATAGAGAAGAATTTTGCCTCCTATCATGTTCATGTTTTGATGGAAGAATTTGTCTTGATATTTAAAGACACGAATTGGTCTCATGTTTTCCACTAACCTGAGGTGGAACAACTACATTGAACCAATAGCTTCATCTACCGTTCTTTGTGAAGGCTTTTCTCGTTTGAGTCCATCCTTCAAATCTACAAATCTACCATTTGTTCTTGTATTGAATACTGTTACTATATATGGTCTGGTGTCCCTGCTGTTCAGCTCGAGATTCTTGACAAAATCCAAAGATGGATATGCAATGTGATAGGTCCTAACCTAGCATTTCGAATCCAGTCACTTTCTCACAGATGTGATGTGGCTTCCCTCTGTCTTTTCTACAAATATTTTCATGGCAACTGCTCTGATGAGGTACTTTCACTGGTGCCCCAACTGTATGAATTTAAGCATTCTTCTAGGTTGGCATCTCGATGCCACCCTTTTACTGTCAAAACAGTTAAATATAATTGCCTCTTCTACTCCAACAGCTTCTTCTCTCACACTTTCTGACACAGAAACTCACTTCCGCTTAGTTGCTTCCCTGATAGTTATAATCTTCAAATATTCAAATGTAATGTCAACTGACATCTGATGCCTTGATCTTGATTCCCGTCCTTCTCTTTATCCTTTCCTCAAACACCTCTCTTTACTCTTACTCTCTGTAACCCCTTGCATGCTAGTGGAACTTCCATGCCTGGAGTGAAATGCTTAAAAAAGAAAATCCATATCACACAATAGAGACTCAATTCTAAGTGGAAAATAAGGCAAAGATATTGCAGATGAATCAAGATTAGAATTGGAAGAGAATTTACAAGCAAAACATTCTGCTTTATCAGCAGAAGATGTTAATACCTCAAACTGAGTAAAAAGAGATATAGAAGACTAACCCTTATTTAACACAGAGTTGCCAGAACTCACGAGAACCAAAATTGTTAGAGGCTATGCGGTGCCTCATTCTGTCAGCAAACAAAAACTTAGCCTCTATCTTAACAAGGTTAAATTAAAGCAATCACTTTGAAAATTTTTGTTGTGATCAGAACTATCACATTGATACAGCTAGAAAAAGTGATTCCTATGGGATATAGTGGCTGAACCAAGAAAATTATGGTTTCACCTGTCTAAGAAGGTAGGAAAGCATTGATGTTGGCTTTAATCCAAGAGGAAACCTCAGTGGCACAATACCCAATAGGAAAGATAAAAATATCAAAGAATCTTGAAGAAAGTCATAAAATGAATCCCAATTAGTAACCTACCTAATGAGCATTAGTAAATGAACAGTAGAACAGAGAATGGGAAGGATATAAATGTTTGCATTTTCTTCTTTCTTTTTTTATTAACAACTATAAGAGATATGATGTTGCCATCATTGCCCATATCATGTGGCACATAAAAGAAAAAACAGTTTTGTTTAATTTACCTTTGGGACATGGAATTAAAATAATAGTTTGAACAATTCTTACAGTCAGAAAAAGTGAGTCCTGTGGGCTACAGTGGCTGAACATTATGATTTCACCTGGTATTTCTAAGAAGATACAAAAGCACTGATGTCAGTTTTAAATCATGAGGAAACCCCAGTGGCACAATTCTCAATAGTAAATTTAAAAATCATTCCAAGGAGCTTCTTGAAGAAAGTCACAAAATGTATCCCAATCAGCAGGCTGAAAACAGTAACCTATTAATGAGAATTAGTAAATGGACAGTTGAACAGGGAATGGTCGGGATAGAAATATTTGCATTTTTTTAATTAAGAGCTATAAGAGACAAGAAGTTGTGGAGAGCCATGATTGCCCATATTATGAAGGGATATGACACATAAAAGGAAAAACAGTTTTGTTTAATTTACCTTCATGAAATGGAATTAATGAATGAGATCGATAGTTTGAACAATTCTTCAAAAGACAATCAGTAATCAAATGGGATCAAAGTGTAGAATCTGTTCTCTTCATTTCTTGTGGTAATATTAATATATATTTCCTTATAAGGAAATATTTGGCATTCATTGACTAAACAGCTAGTGCATCTTTCATTTGAATATATGAAATTTTTCACAAAAAACAATTTTTCAGGAAAATAGGTTTCTCAAGTCCAGTAGCTGTTATCACTCTTTCTAGTATTGATAGGGAAGGGCTTCCTTAATTTTTATTATTGGAGAATGGTCATGATTACATCATTATTTTCTATTCAAGTTAAGTGTGATATCCATTTTAGTTGTTGCTACTGTTGAAAATCCTCAAATGAGGTGGTTTCTGTTATTAGGTATAATTCTTTGTTTATTGTTGTGGTATACCTATGGCTGATAATGGGTATGTCCCCATTCACATAAATACAGTAGTAAATACTGTATGTTGGTCTGCAGTTGAAGATTCATTGTGGAATTCACTTGACTCACTTCCAGCAGTTGACTACTTCTTCTATGCACTGTTGGTGAATCTTATATGTGTTGTTCTTGTCCTAAGTATTATCGTTCATTACCAACCTTTGTGTAATTATTCTATTCAGTAACCTTCCCTAGGTTACAACATTTATGATTCTGTAGCACCAATCCACCAGGCTAAAGCAAATGTTTAACAATGTTAAAAAAGAAGATGACCTTTGCTGAAACCTACACACTTCACTTGCTTAAAACCATTTTAACTATCCATCTGAAAAAGTGTTTGTATAGAACTGACAATTTAGATATTTTTGAATGAGTTTCTCAATCTGATGAGTCTATTTAAAAAGATTAACCCCAAAACTTGAGTCCTATTTTTGCTTTGCAGCAAAACCACCTCCACTACAGCCAATTTCCTTATCTCCTACACTGAACTCATTATAACTGATCCAAACACAAAGATATTTTAATTGCTTATTATTTATTCATTCCATATCCTGAATTTTCATGATGGATTCAGAGTCAGTGCCATCACTGCTTTCATTCCAATTCCAGATCAGAGTTTCTATTTTGGAAAGATTTATCTTGAGTCCTATTTCTTGGAACACTTAGTAGAGGATGCTGATTTTCTGTTCAAGATCATTCTTAACCCAAGTATGAATAACAATGTCATCAACATAGCTTCCCCTCCTCCTCATCACTACATTGGACTTGGGTGGGGAAATCAGGATTATTGTCTTTTATTGATAGACTCTTTTGGGATGCAGTATGGAATGCTTAAATGGTCAATGTCCATCTGTGTTTGTAAATGTGCAGGGCATAGTTTAAGAAGAGATTAAATAGTCTAGAGCTTTCATTTCTTTTACTCTTATACTTAATTTGATATAACTGATCCATGCACCAAGTTCTCTGAATTTGTTTAATATGGTTCTTTCCACATTGTTTTTTTTATAATTAAAATGGATTAGTTAAATTAGTTTTTCATTCCATCCCAGAAAAAGTTTAAAAAAAAAAAAGCTTGAGTACTATTTTTAAGATGGATTCAGCATAGGTGATATTACTGTATAACAGGAGAGAGCTATGGTATAAAGATTTATTCTCCCCATTTACATTTCCCTTGTTATGGATATTGTTATATCCATGATATAATAACACCCTAATTCAAGGACAGAACAGAATGGTTGAAAGGAAAAGGAATGACAAACATGCTTTGTTCTCAGAGACCTTTATACAACTAATACATACACAACACTATATATACACATATATAAGTGTTCCACATAGAGAATAATATATCATATATATCTGCACAGCAAATAAAGTGTAAGGAGAAACAAAATTTTTATTTTATATAATATACTGATAACAATTTTTGTCTGGAAAAGCCATGTTGGGGACTCCAGATTTAAATGGGATAGATAAATTTATCATTAAGGTGAGGACATATATATGAAATGATGCAATTTCCACATCAAGGAAGGTTTCAGAAAAATTGAATCATCTTTGGTTTCTTAATATAAATTAAATGCCTGTGGATGTTTTCTAAAATAATAAAATTCTCAACCACATTTTTTGACCTTAGAGGTACATTTAAATATAAGTCATTTTGTAAGAAATTTGTGGAGCTAACACGTGTGTGTGAGCCCATCAGAACAATATAAAAATGAGAATATTTTCAAACTAATCAAGAAAAGTTTAGTTGCCATTAAAGATGAATATTAAAATTTCCCCACATCCCATTTTATTTTCTATTAAAAAGAAGACATATTTTCTCATGGAAAAAGAAAAAAATATTTAGTGATCTATCCCTTTGGCAGCTCACTTGGGCAGGCAAAGTTAGCTTTTACCCATACAAAAAAGCAAATGCTTGGTTTGACACCTGGAAGGTAACTGACTGACTACTTTCATCAGACAAGGAATGGAGGTCAATATGCACAATTATTTATTGTATTAATTTACATTGAACGAACAGTATGAAATTATGATTCTCAACTTGGTAATAATGCTTTTACAACTACGCAATTGTTGATACTTCACTACAACTCGCAGAGACATAAAAAAAAGGAAAAGCAAAACACGAATGATTCAATTTTTGTTTATAGATTTTTTCATTAAGTTCAAAGCAAAAAAGAAAATGGAATAAAATTTTTTTTTTTGTATCAATTATGTAATTCATTTTCAATTAACATTCCAGAATTATACATATTAATGAAGGGGGAAAGGCAAGTCTCCATTTTTTCCCAAAATTAATGATGCTAGTTATTTATATTTTAATAACTAGGAAAAATATATTCCCAAAGAGTAATGGCATCATAGATGTATAACCTACTGGGGGAAACAAATTTAGCCTCGGCCATTTCATCCAGGTTAAAAAAGTAACTGCTTGGTTTGGCTGCTGTAAACAAAACTGAAATTGACTGACACTTTTAGCACTGTATGAAGCGATGTCATTAAGTGACTGTCATGTGACCAATGTATCATATCTCCACCAAAGGGAGATAATCGCCTTCTGTATGCCTACAACTGCTTTTATTCTAATTCCAGTTAATAGGACTTAAGATAAATCTTTCACAAACAGAATCTACTCTATCAAGTATTCTAAGAAATAAAGGCTTTTCTCTGAATCCCAGAAAATTGATTAAAAAAAAAAAAGAAACATGTTCAGTCGATATATCTGTCCGGAGATGATAAAAATAAGATTTTTACAAGTAAATGAACAAAGAACAAAGATTGATTATTGATTTTCATTTCTCAGCATGAGTCGTAATTTATTGCAACCTGTCTGCACTCTGGATAAACAAGATTTCTACTGTGTTACTTGTTAATGCTTTGATATCCTTTGCCTGCTACAGAAAGACCTTGCATCAAGTTTATCTCCCATATGTTGCAACATAAATTTAGGGTGGCTTCTTTATGTTGATATGGGCTACTTTGCTTTTTCTAACATTAAATAAATTTTATCTCTTCGTTCAATCATTAGGATTCCAAATTTTGTTCAAGCATGTGAACTCCTCTTTTGTTTTTCTAGATATTGTTATCAAATTTAGATTGATCTATTCTTCAGTGTATAATACATAAGGAAAGAGGACAAGAATAGTTTTTCAGAAATAATGACAGAAAAAAAAATAAATGCATCACTGCTGAAATGATAAAAACAATAAGGATGAGGATATTAGTCTGAATAACCTGTGTAATAATAACAAGGACTCATGTACTAACTTCAGGCATTGAAGAAGGCCAAAGAACACATCAGCCAAAATATAGTGATAAAAGCAATAAGGATGGGGATATTAGTCTGAATAACTTGTGGAATAATGCCAATGACTCATTTACTAATTTCAGACATTGAAGAAGGCCAAAGACTACATCAACCAAAATATAGTAATAAAACAATAAAGATGGGGATATTAGTTCTACTAATGTCAGACACTGAAGAAGGTCAAAGAACACACCAGCCAAAATATAGTGATAAAAATATGAATGAAGATATTAATGTGAATGACTTGTGGAATAATGACAATGATTCATCTAAGAATTTCAGACATTGATCCAGACCAGAGATCATATGAAGTGGAACTGTTATATTGAATCATTTGCTAAGTCTGCTGCTAGGGACATTGATTCACTGTCATGCAAGACAATTTTTCTCACCAGAATCTATCTTTACTCCTGTCTTAATGGTAAGAAATCAGTGTGCATGGCCTGGCAGATTCTAGCTGTGAATGTCTGAACTGGTGGAACCAAGAAATGTAGTTCACTCGGACATCTTCTATGACAATAATAGTAGAGCAGTGAGTGACCAGCAAAGTTCCATCTACTTTTTGCTGTCAGTGAATTAATACCAATTTGCTTACATTACTTCTTCACTGTTACAGTGACTATTGGATATGACTTTGCAGAATTGTGTTTGAAAATATAACTAATGACTTAATTTTTTTTTGTTCAGTATTTTCTATTTGTATTTTTTATTATATTTTATTTGTTGTAATTTAAGATGCACAGGGGTTGTAGTAAAAATTATTTCTTCTTTTTCTAATGTTCATCCAATTCAAGGCCTAAGTGCCACTCAAGGTAGAGGGTTACTAAATGGTTGTTGGAAGGCAGAGAGAAAAGGTTGAATATTATGAGGATATATATGATAATGGTTAACCTTTGAATTGAAAAGGTTAAGAATATAGTGATCAGGAAAGCATCCCCACAGGAGTTGCATTCCACAATGCAACAGTTCAAATGAAAGAAGCTGTCTAAGTGGAGCTTACTCCTTACCAATGGAATATAAAGGAAATGAACTGACTCAGTGTACATGGTCATGCAGGTCGTAGTTGTGAAGGTCTGCACTGCTGGAACCAAGGAATATAGTTTGCTCAAACATCCGTCACAAAGTAGCAATATTTACCTGACCTCTGCACTAAGGCGGGATGGTATACAAGGTCTGTTCTTTATGGGAGTGACAAAAATATGACCCAGTCTCAGTAGAGTAGTGAGAGGTTAATGTCTTTGCCTGTGGTAAAGGGGTTGAAGCTTGTGCAAATGCTTTTAAACTCAGTCGAGGCTGGAATGGAAGTGCAGAGCCATGATCTTCCATGTCCTGAAAGGACAGGGCACAAAGAAAAAGATCTGTCACTGTTTCTGCTTTATAAGTGTTGACTACTGAAAATAAACTTACCTGCTCCTGCGGCTATCATACCACCCAGGCACACGCCTTTGTTTTTGGCACTGACTAAAGCAGCAATCTGGGCAGGAATCACTGAAAGAAATGAAACAAAAATGAGCAACATTATCTTAAATGAGCCACTAAGAAAAAGAAGAGCTTCCAATGATGCAATGTTACCCTTGTGACATGAGACGATACACAACTGAGCCTAATGGAGTTGCTATGTAAGAAAAGGAATATTTCCTATTTTCATTTCCCCAATTATGGGCATTATTATATTCATGATATAATAACATCTTAATACATGGAAAGAACAGAACAGCAGAAAAAAAAGCAATGACAAACATGCTTTGTACACAGGAAGAGTTTTATGCCACTAAGTCATACACAAAATTATATACAAACAATTACACTTGTCCCACACAGAGAAATTATAATGTGTACTCAACAACAACTAGTGTGAAAATGTCAGAGAGACATAAAGTCTTACTTGTAATAATTCCCAATGAAAATTCACACTGCCAGAGGATTCTACTATATTTCTGCTGAAGCCATATTTATATTTCCCAAAGGGAATTTGTGCAGGCCATATTTATCTTCTATGTCTCTGGTGAAGACATATTTTCCTCATGGAAAAAAGACACTATGGGCTAGTGATCTGTCCCTTTGGCAGCTCAATTGGGCAGGCAGAGTTAGCTTTTACCCATACAAAAAAGCAAATGCTCGGTTTGACTCCTGGAAGGTAACTGACTGACTACTTTCATCAGACTATGAACTGAGGTCACTAAGCGAACATCATGTGACCCACATGACTTCATCTCAACCAAAGGGAGATAATAGCCTTTTAAGTCACTGCAAGTCTATGCATTTATAGTCTTGTCAGATACGAGGAGCAGAAGCACTACAGAGATGATAGCCTAAAGGAACTGTTTGAAAATACTGAACCAGATGAGTCCTTTCGTAGTTTGTAAAGGAAACTGGTCTTTATAACAGAATATGTTTACAGTCTATTTTTATACATTTTATACTTGGAAAAGTCTTACAAAATAGTTTTAAGAAAACGTTGATTACAACTCACCTTCATGCAAGTTGTATCTGGAAAATCATTGTTATATAATTTCTATTTATTCCCCAAATTAATAAAATATTGATTTGGAAAATATTTATTACAATTATTTACAATGTTTATTGCAATTTATCTTTATGTAAGTTATAACTAGAAAAATCACCATTAATGATTAATCATTAATAAGTAGAAATTATTTAATACAATGAATAATTGTGCATGTATTGATAATCTGTTGCAAATTCCAATAAACATGAGCCAAATACTACAAAGATAACTTAAGAAAAATACTGAAACAAGATTTTGTAGTTTTATAAAGGCTTTCATAATAGAAGTTTAGGATTTATTTCTGTATGGTTTATAAAGGGTGTTCCAATAATTAGTTTTCAAGAAAAACATTTATTACAAGTTGAGTATCACGAAGCTTTTGACAAAACTTGATGCAATATCTCTGTTCAATGTGTTCTTATGTGAAAATGAAATCTGATGAGTGTGCACTAAACGTCTGTACTCTGAGACAGCCTACTGCTACCAAAATATTCAAGCACATGTGGGAAGGGTAATGTCATCTCCCATCTAAAGAATGCTGGCCACATGCCATTAGTTTTGGTGGATACTTTTTGAATGCACCTTCTGAGTGTGTGTGTGTGTGTGTATATATATATATATATATATATATATATATAATCTGACATTTTTATTACTTCAAGCATTATTATAGTGGATACTTTGTATTTGAAACAAACTCAGCATTTTTATTTATCAAACAGCGTGTATTACGTCTATTGGTCTGTACATTCAAGAAATCATAGTAAAGAAAATGATTTCCTTGTAGAGATTGAACCTACATCACACTTTGTAGGGGAAATCTACCATTTGATCCTGTTTGCTTTACTACTTGGCCACAAAGAACATTACAGCAAGCAATTTTCTAGAGAAAATAGAACCTTGCTTACTGTAATCAAATGGTGTTTTCCTCCATCAATGAGGATGTATTCTATTTACTATGATTTCTCAAATACATAGGCAGATAGGCATAAGACACACTATTTAATAAATAAAAATTGGAGCATCTATTTCAAATACAAGTATCCACTATAATGATGTTTGAAGTTATATATATTATGGTGAATTTCAGCAGATTCTAAGTTATTGGAAAACAAATACAAACCAATTTCCCATAATTTCATTACTTAACAAAACAACAATAATAAAACATGGATAACTCTGTAGGGATGCAAAAGGTGATTATCTCCCTTTGTTTGAGATGAAATCAAGAGGCTCCCTGGGATGGCTGCTGAGTGACATCAGTTCATAGAGTGATGAAAGCAATCGGTCGTTTAGTTAGCTGCCTAAAGTCAAGATGAGCAAGGCTAAAATGGGCCTGCTTGGGCCAGTTTCCCTGGGGTTGTATGCAAGCCCATGGCACTGTTTTCTCATTGAGAAGTATGTCCTCACCAGAGTCATAGAAGATAAATCTGGCCCGTTTGAATTTCCATTGGGAAATATTAATATGGCTGAAACACATGGCCTCAACATTTCCCATTGGTAAAGTCTAGCTTCTCTAGAAGTTCAAATTTCCGTTGAGTTTAAAACCCTATTTTTCTTGGTTAATTTCACACTGCTTGTTGTTGTATACTTGCATTATAGTTTCTCTGTGTGGCACAAGTGCAAATCAAATTTTGTGTACAAAACATACTTCCTTTATCTTTCAGCTGTTATCTTCTCTACATGTATGAAGGTGGTACTATATCATGGATATAATAATGTCTATAATGGGGGAAATACAAAATATTCATTTCTTGCATAGCACACCCTCAGCCCATTTCAGGTTTATATAATATATAATACCAAATACAAAGTATCTACTATAATAATTTCTAATTTCCTTGCTTAACAAAACTACAATAATAAAACATGCATAACCCTTTTTGGGTCTATATAATATCATTGATTCTGTTTAACCAAAGCACAAGGCAAACCACTGTGGTACTGGTAGGCAATGACATCTGGGTAAACATTAGCCTACCAGATCCCTCAACTTTGCATATAAACCTCCCCTATTTACATTTAATATTCCAGTATTATGGAATGAGGCTAGCTGAATACTCCAGTCTATGGCATCTGGGTAAACATTAGCCTACCAGATCCCTCAACTTTGCATATAAACCTCCCCTATTTACATTTAATATTCCAGTATTATGGAATGAGGCTAGCTACAAGTACTGGTAGTCTATGGCATCTGGGTAAACATTAGCCTACCAGATCCCTCAACTTTGCATATAAACCTCCCCTATTTACAATCGATCCTGACCTGGCATCTCAATTTCAGTCATTTTCTCACCAATATAATGTGGCTTTCCTCTGTCTTTTCTATAAATATTTTCATGACAATAGTTCTGATGAGCTTTCCTCCTTTGTGCCTTGATTTGATGAATTTTCGTGTGCTATTAGATTGGCAACTAGGTCTTACCATTTTACTGTTGAGCTAGTAAGATACAATCATATGGTCTATTATAATAGCTTCTTTACTTGCACTTCTTGTCTGTGGAACTTCTTTCCAAGTTCTTGCTTCCCTGTCACATTCTATCTTCAAAAATTCAAATGCAACCCCAATCGCTGTCTTTTGTCTTCCTGATCCCTATTGCTTTATTGTTCTTTCTACCCACTAAAGTCTTCATATTCTCTTTCACTGCCAGTAACCCCTTGCATCTTAGTGGCATTATTGCCTTGCTTTGGGTGAAATGATCAAAACAAATTAATAATTTAATATTATAGTATTAAATGTATATTGGGGTGGTGTCATATCATCAAATAAAGTACGATGTCTGATCAAAAGTATCAGGACTGTTGCTATGGCAACAGAGTTCAAGTACACAGGATGAAGCTGCTTGGGGCAGATTGACCTTGAACTGTGTCATACAAGCACACAAGTCTTGCTTGTTTCTGTCATTTATAGCATTGGTTAGAAGGAAAGTGTGTAGAATGTGGTGATCTCACCACACCACAGAAGTTTCATCAATTATCATTGCTTGTGCAGCAGTTTTTGGCCAAGGACAACATTCCCCAGACTGGCCAACCACTATATTTCCCAGATCTCACTCCTTGCAACTTATTCTTTTTCCAGAAATCAAATCACACTTGAAAGGAACAAAATTTGAAGACGTTGAGGAAATCCAAGAAAATGCAATAAAGCTGTGGATCACTATCCCAAAAATGGAGACCCACGTATGCTTCAATCAATGGAAATAACACTGGATAATGTGCATGTCTTCAGAAGAGGATGACTTTAAAGAAGTTTAAGTACCACATTAATATGTGTTGCAGTTTTCTTTTTATAGCACCAGTCCCAATACTTTTGATCAGACCACGTATAAAATAATTAAGATATTTTTAATGTCATAATTTAAATAATTTTATCAGTTCTGTTATTTTAGACTATGTACTTTATATAATATTACTTTTATTTTAGTCTCCCTTATTGCCCAATTCACACACCTCCCTGATCGTTTGTTCCTGTTTAGGATTGGGTTTCCATTTCCTTCTAAAGTCTACTTCAACTCTATATTTTTAACACCGCCACCTGAACTCTGAAATTTTATTTACTAATTATTTATTCATTTTTGTCTTCCCCTCAATAGGAGTAGATAGGTTTGCCTATCAATGGGTTAATACTCCTCCACATTCATTCGTTTCTTGTTTTCTGTTTAGGATTGGATTTCCAGTTCCTTCTAAAGTCTTGTCATTCTCTTTCACTCCCAATAGTTCCTTGCATTTTAGTGGCATCATCAACTTTCTTGGGGTGAAATGATTAAAAAAAAACAATATAATTCCCATAATTAATTATAGGTTAAAAACAAAAATTCAGTATGATTTATGGGTTCTTAAATATTAGCTATTAATTCTTAGTCAAAAAAATGAAATGGTGGGCATTAACGCGTTGAAGAACTTAGAAATATGAATCAAATATCTAATTTTACATTGTAGTTATTTTTAGAAATTTTTAGATGAAGTATTTTATTTTATTTTTCTTATATTATTAATTTTTATCCCAAACCTCTGTGTCAATACACTCTTATTACTATTATTTTATTACAAGATTTCTTCCATCTTATTATTGTGGCTTTTATCCCAACACTCTGGCTCTATACACTCTTCATTATTACTATTATTTTATTACTAGTTTTATTCCATCTTATTGTTGCTTTTTATTCCAATACTCTGGCTCTATACACTCTTCATTATTACTATTATTTTATTAGTAGTTTTATTCCATTTTATTATTGTTGCTTTTTATCCCAACACTCTGGCTCTATACACTCTTCATTATTACTATTATTTTATTACAAGATTTCTTCCATCTTATTATTGTGGCTTTTATCCCAACATTCTGGCTCTATACACTCTTCATTATTACTATTATTTTATTTCTAGTTTTATTCCATCTTATTGTTGCTTTTTATTCCAATACTCTGGCTCTATACACTCTTCATTATTACTATTATTTTATTAGTAGTTTTATTCCATTTTATTATTGTTGCTTTTTATCCCAACACTCTGGCTCTATACACTCTTCATTATTACTATTATTTTATTACTAGTTTTATTACATTTTATTATTGTTGCTTTTTATCCCAACACTCTGGCTCTATACACTCTTCATTATTACTATTATTTTATTACTACTTAAATTCATCTTATAAGTTCCTGCTGAAGTAAAATTGTGATATTGAATGTGTGAAACTGACCCAAATAATCGCTTTCCCAACTGACAAAGTCTCTCCGTAAAAGCAGTACCACGTTCACGAAAATACTGTTTATTCTTTCTCACGTGGTGTTTTTTATGCTGAGCTGATCTCACAAAAAATTTGCATATGCCCAACAACTCTGACCAATTCTCCTAGTGAGAATGTGTCTTTCTTAAATTAAGATGTTAGAGCAGCCATATTTCCAAAATTTATGTGATTGGAAGGAAAGTAAAAAAATTAAGAAAAGAATGTCCATGAAAAGGGATTTCTTACCTTCAACAGACAGCAGTAAAAACATGAGGTTAAGACCATACCAAGTCAAATTGAGAAGAATGATTTGACATTTGGATATGATTATATCTGATGTGAGAGCTTCGACTTGAACTTCAGTGCTACAAAAGAAATATCAAAAAGAGACATTGGGGTGTTTAAATAGGAAATCCGTATTTACTTGTTGTCTCTCTCATAAGGAACTGGGCACTTTTGCAATATTAGTATAATGCATATCATTATCTCTTTTCATATGAACAGCCAAAAACAAAGCCCCTTGGAAATGACTAAAAGAGTGGCTGAAAGTACTTGGAACAATATTGACAATTTCTGCACTTCATTACTCCTACTAAACAGTAAAACATAAGAATGTTGGAAAAACTAAATAATTAATTAAACTTTCCTTGTCTCTCATATTTAAGAAAGCATACTTAAAAGAAAATTTGCTACCTAAATATACATTTTATATAAATACATATATATATGATTGGTGTATACGAAATGAATTCCAATAACCAACAATTACTATTCTTAAAAGAGTGCTCAGTACAGAGTAGAGTAGAGCAGATATAATTATTTATTTAAAAATTATAACATAAATATGTTATAAAATCACTACAAAAATAGCCATTTTGTTTCAACACCTCCGGTGTCTTATCAAGTGATGATTTTGAATGTAAAATAAATGGTTTTTAAAAACCATTTATTTTACATTCAACATCATCAATCTTTTGATCAGAGGTCTCACTGCTGAATCAATCTTTTGATCAGAGGTCTCACTGCTGAATGTAGTTATCATTATACCCAGGAATAACAAAATGTAATTAAGCAATATTTATTTTGGGATTGGCAAATTAAGTTTCCTTAGAATGTAGAATTAACAAAAATTCTGAGTTTTGACTTACCATGTTTCTTCTGTGTACCGTTTATAAGGCTTCAGTCCAGTCAAACTTTTCATCTGAACCATCTAAGCAAAGATAAAAAGAAAATGTCAGTCTTACTCTAGTGTTACTTATATCTCACAATATTGTGACATTTTTTTTAAATGATTCAAAAACTTTGTAATGGATTCATCAGCTTCCAGCCTGGCAGCCATGCATTACTAATCTCTTTTTAGATCACATATTTTTCAGTCTTTTCTAACTTATCTTGTCAAAAGTTAAATCTTCCAGTTTCCCTAGATGAGGCATTGTTGAATCTTTCATCATAACTTCACATCCAATTGTGTCCATAAAAAAGCATGTTTCTCCCCTTCTACTTTCTTAGTTGTTTCTTAGTTTCTTGGTTCTAACTCTTGTCACAAAACTTCTAATCCAGGCCTCCACAAAGTCAAGGTTTGTAAGGGATAACATATTTTCTATTGGCAATGCCATTGTTATGAAGCGTGATTTTTTTTTCATATTTTATCAGTCCAGCCATAGTTGTTTATCTTGCATACTGCAAGCAGCTGTACAATTACTGCTTTGGCATTTATATAATGTATGACTTAATTATGCTAATTAGGCATCCATTTACAAGTGGCCTATCCATTACTAGCAAGACCCATGAAATGCCATAGTGGACATCTTTGCAATTTTAGAATCGAATACAAAGATGCCTGTGATGGAATTTCCATGGGTCCTGCTAGTAATGGATAGGTCACTATTTAAAACTATAAAGAATAGGATTTCTTTTTTTTCTCTATTATTCATATCTATGAATTCCTTTGTATTCTATTCCTAAATTGCAAAGGAATTCTTAGATTTTAATAATAGACAAATAAATTCTTTTCTTTATGAATTTAAATAGGGGCCTATTTATTATTAATATGATCCATCATGGGAATCTTTGAATTTTCAAATTTAGGAATCTTTGAATTTTCTTTTTTTTTTAATCATTTCACCCCAAACCAATAGACCAGTAGCATGATAATTTGAGGGGTCAGAGGGTTCTCCAGAGTTCTTTAAAACAGGAAGTGCAAAGATGGACTTCCAATATGCTAGAAAGCAAGAAGCAATGAGGCAATTGTTGTAGAATTTGGAGATAACTGGAGCCAGCTCAGGTGCTCATTTCTTTAGGACAACAGCTGGGATCCCGTCACCCTTGCTTGTCTTGTAGGAGTCTAGTCTGAAAATGATGTCTGAAACCAGTGACGGGGGTCATGTGAATGTCACTCAGTACAGTCTCCATTCTAGGGGGTGGGGGAATCAGGTGTGGGTACTCCAGATGAGTCAAGTGGAGTGTTGGAAGAGAACTTTTAAGCAAATCACTCAACCTTATCTTCTGTAGATATCAGAACATCAAATTGATTGAAGAGACGAAGGACTGAGGATTTGTTGTTATTCAACACACACTTGTAGAGATACCAGTAATCTCTAGAACCAAACTTATTGGTTTCTATTTTTAAATTGCATAGATATTAATAAGTTAAAAAATAAAGAAATTCTGTCATATATGGGGTGGGGGTCTATCAATAACTGCCAGTGTTTGCAGTTAGAGTTACAATTGATTGTGGATTTCAGTATCTCCTTTCAACTACCAGAGAGAAACATCAGTGATGATTTTACTATAGGAATGCATTGAAAATGAGGAAGAAAGAGATTGTCAGTGGTCAGGAATAAAGGCAAGCATTAGTTATAGAATTGGGCTATTAAATGTAAAATCGAAATGCATTACTGATGATTTTACTATAAGAATGCATTGAGAATGAAGAATAAAGGGATTGTCAGCAGCCAGGAATGAAGGCAAGCATTACTGATAGAATAGGGAAATGCATTGCTAATGATTTTACTATAGGAATGCATTGAAAATGAGAAAGAAAGGGATTGTCAGTGGTCAGGAATGAAGGTAAGCATTACTGATAGAATAGGTTAGTTATATATATGTATAGTGTAAGCACCTCGACATGGTGTAATGGTTAATTTTCGTCTTGCTAGATCTGTTAGACTGAAAAAGTGAGTTCGATCCTCACTAGATGCCCCATACTTCCGCCTAGGTTACATCTAAGTTTACGCTTAGAAAATCAATAGGGAACCTTGATGAAGTGGTATAATGTTGGAAAGCTTGTCTTGCTAGGATCAATTACGAGTTGAGTAGTAAAGTTCGATCCTCACTGGTACTCCATACTTTAAAAACTTTTGCCACATCTAGATTTCAACTAAAATCGCATTATATATGTATAGTGGAAATGCATTGCTAATGACTTTATTATAAGGATGTATAATTGTTAACATTACAAACTTTGTTCTACTAAAAACATCCAAAATATGTTTAACAATAAAAATTCTTACTGCATTTATTTTATTTTTCATGTCAGCTTTTCATGATTCTTCATTTAATCTCAGTGAAATTTCAGATTGTCTTGGATTGTGTTCTTCCTTTGACAATATTCAAAATGTCACCATCTTGGATGTTTTGGTCAGGATTGTAAGTGACTGATGTTTCTTGATCACATGACAATTCCATGTTGGAGAAAATTCTGGAAGGGAAAAAATAGCATAACTTAATAGAATTTTAATACAAAACTTTGTTTTTATATCAAAGTTAATCGGGAGAAACTATTTTATCCACTTACTAAAGAGTACAAGGAATTTTTACCATTTT